ATGGACATACTAGAAACATGTATCAGTGATTTAAAAAATAAAATTACTATACTAGTCCCAGTCACAAAAACCTGAAGGCAAATTTGTCAGGGACTTCGAAATCTGTGGTCCCATAATTTCCTCAAATGAGTGCTTATTCTCTAATAATAAAATGGGCCAAATATTTTGAGATTATTTTTTATGTAGTAAAGGAAGTAAACACAATGGAACAAATCTGATAAAAATTACTATTCTAAATATTCTCTAGTAAAATATGTATCATTAGGATTGAACAAGTACCCGGTTTCCCCTAAAATAAGACAGTCCCTGATAATAAGCCCAATTGGGCTTTTGAGCGCATGCGCTAAAATCCCCCCCTGAAAATAAGCCCTTCCTGAAAATAACCCTTCCCCGAAAATATTTAAACGCATGCGCAGCTGGTCCCTGCCATTTCCTCTGGTTAGGGTTAGGGAAACAGAGCTGGAAATCAGATAAGACCGCAAGAGAAGCCCTGTCTTGCTCCATGTGCCTCAAAATAATAAGACCTCCCCGAAAATAAGGCCAAGTGCTTATTTCGGGGTTCAAAAATATATAAGATAGGGTTTTATTTTCAGGGAAACACGGTAATAGATCGTTTACTTTTGATAATTAGATGCTCACTTGTTTATCAAGTAAAATAATGATGCAACCTCTATAAAATATATTTGGAGGGCCATCTGCAGCCAGCAACAGCTGCCCATCGCCTGGTGCGTTCCCACAGAGGGGGTGTTCTCAGGGTGCCGTCGGCCAGACAGTGTCAGCTGGCTACCCCCAGGGGGAGAGCTTTCTCTATGGGTGCACCTACCCTTTGGAATCAACTGCCCCTGGAGCTCCGGGTGGCCCCCGACCTCTGCTCTTTCCGTCACGACCTGAAAAAGTGGCTGTTTCATTTGGCTGGCCTGGACTGATGGGGTCTTAATTTTTAACTTGTTAGTCTTAATTGCACTTTTAACTGTTAAATTATGAGATTTGGATTTAATTTCTTTTTAACTTTTTCATTAGATTTTTTTACTGTTGTGAGCCGCCCTGAGTTCGGCTGGAGATAGGGCGGCATATAAATCTCATAAATAAATAAATAAATAAATAAATAAATAAAATATAAAATATCACCATTTCACTGAAAATAAACAATGAAATAATTAGATTTAAAATCATTTTTTTTTCCATTGAGAAGGAAGTGTTTGTTTTATGCATCATTCCTGAAATCTGATTTTTATTTTTCAGACAGCCACTCATTTTTTACCAATGCTTACTTTTGATCAAGATTTTCTCTTTCTAGGTCGTATTCTAGAAAAGTCTGTATTTGGTGATAGTTTGTCTGGGCAGAAAAGAAGGAAATACTGACCCTGAGCCATCTTTGGGCACATAGGCCAAGCGAGCTTTGCATGAAATACTGGAGTCCCATTAGAACTTGTTTTGGAAAAGACAGCTGCTGATTTATCTAGACCGAGCAGAACAAAGTAATGCCACAGCAATCCATCTGTTCCTATGTAAGCCATCCAGTTGTGTTTCAATCATTAATCTCCCAAACTCTTAATTGCTTAGATAAGAACTCTGGCCCAACACCTTGATATAAGGCACCAGATTTGGAAAGGCTGAGCTAGGTCATCATATTGAAAGTATGGTAGAATCCAGCTGCATTGGCTCTGTCGCTTGACTGATATTTTATTTTATTTATTTCTTCTATTTTATTTATTAATTTCCTAAACCTAATTGACTCTGGGCAGTTTACAATGACATAATAAAACCATAAATGCATGAATCAAAGCATAGCTTAAAAGAGGATTAAAGACAAGATAAAACTAACAGGTAAAAATAAATCAGGTTAAAATCCAAGGCTAGGAGGTTAATAGGGCAGTGGGAATATTTTTAGGCTAGCAGCCATCCTCAGGGCTCCATCCTACTTTTAGATCCCCATGCTAATTGGCAAAGCCAAGGTTCACCTCACCTCTGGGGTGAGGTAGGGTGTAAAATATTCCCTAAGGTGGAGGTAGCAGGTAAGAAGGCCCTCCTTCTATATCTGCCAGTCGAAGCTCCTGACCTATGGGATGCAGTGCATGCCCTCCCTATTTGACCAGATGGGACGGCTCAAGTCTTTCCAAGGACTGCGATAGGCAGATGTGGATCAGTGGTGGGTTTCAAATTTTTTTACTACTGGTTATGTGGGCGTGGCTTGGTGGGTGTGGCAGGATACTGTAAAATCTCCATTCCCTCCCCAATCCAGGGGAAGGTTACTGCAAAATCCCCATTTCCTCCCAATCAGCTGGGACTTGGGAGACAGAAAATAGATGGGGGCGGGGCCAGTCAGAATTTTTACTACCGGTTCTCCAAACTACTCAAAATGTCCGCTACCGATTCTCCAGAACTGGTCAGAACCTGCTGAAACCCACCTCTGATGTGGATGTTTGATGACGTTAAATGTATCATCACAGGATGTAATTTGTTCCAAATAAAGCTGGCTTTTGTAATAACATTATTATATATTATTATATAATAATTTTTGATTAAAATGTGAATCCAAACACCATTTGTCTTTCTTGGGTTCTTGAAAACCTTTCTGTATTGGTTGTTCCATAATAACTTGTCCTGAAACAATCAGGAATTGCCCTGGGCAATCGGTCTGGCAAATAATATGAAAACATATTCAAGATATCAGTAGATCAGTGTTAATCTTTTTTATTGCTCATTGATCAGACAGATATTTAAGTTTAATGTTTAATAGTAATCATACATTATTCATAGTAGAGTCTATAATATATTGTTAAATATTCAGTGTAATCCGGAGATCAAATGTACCCATTGATCTCTAGACGTTGTTAAGGCTAGGATGCTATTGATCATCTGCCTTGCCAGTTTGGTTGTTTCAAGAGATTCAGCCATTTACTGAAAATATATCCTAGTTGCAGAAAAAGGGTGTTTATTATATGTCATAAAACACAGAAGTAATGCAGTTGGGGGAAAACTCTATTTTTAAAAAATAATACACCATTGGTATATGATACCAAGAAACTGTCTAAGATGTATAAAGGCATTTCTAATCACTGCTGCAAATGTGAAAAACATAAAGGGTCGTTTTATTATGCATGGTGGACTTATAAACATGACAGAGCCATGGTGGCACAGTGGTTAGAATGCAGTATTACAGGCTAACTCACTGCCAGGAATTTGACTTTCACTGGCTTGAGGTTGACTCAACCTTCCATCCTTCCAAGGTCAGTAAAATGAGGACCCAGATTGGGCGGCAATATGCTGACTCTGTAAACCGCTTAGGGAGGATAAAGCACTGTGAAGAGGTATATGAGTCTAAGTGCTATTGCTATTGCTATCTTGACTGTGAAAAACTTCACAAGTTATGCAACACCCCAGTAAAAATACTTTTGATTGTATATTAATTCATTTCATTGGGTATGTGCCGTTTACTTATTAATTCTTAGCAACCACAGAGACAGATTTTCTCCATGATGATATGTCCTGGTCAATGAGGTCTTCCAATGATGCACTCATCACCATTGTGATTCAATCCATCTTGCTGCTAGTCATCATCTTCTTTTTCCTTCCATATTTCCCAGCATTAGGCTTCTCCCCAGAGCCAGGTCTTTCAAACATGGGTACGAAGCCTGATCATCATCATTATTATGGTTTGTTGCACAATCAGCCAGCTGTTCAGACTGGATTTGGTTTCTCCTTCTCCTTCTCCTCCTCATCTACCACCACCTCCTCCTCCTAGTTATAGCATAGTTATAACCAGGTGTGGTGCCCTTTAATATTTGTCTTGCTAAATCCTTGCTACTCTGCTTCCCAGATCACAGTTGGGCTAGCAAGTCTTTCAAGGGGAAAGATGCTTTGAGGATTTTTTCAGTTCCTCCTGCATAAGGATATTAATTAATTAATTAATTAATTATTCATTCATTCAATTATGTATGTATTTATTTATTTATTCGATTTATATGCCACCCTTTACAGCCAGCCCAACAAATTAATGCAGTGTGAAGGAAAAGATGTGAATATAATGTGTTTGTGCACAAGTAATTTATTTTAATTTCTTTTAATGTGGAATGAATAAAAGGAATTTTTTTTGTTACTGAAGGGTTACAGCTAGTCAGAGGAAGACTGAGATTTTTGATCCTGGTTCTCAATGGCAGAAGAGCAGAAGCCTTCAAACAACATTTGAAGGATCTGGAAACTACAGGAGAGCAGAAAAAGCTTTAACCTGCATAGAATTGACGAAAGAGGGGGCATGGGGAAGCAATTTTCTTGGAAACTAGTCTTCGCTTTCTTGGTCACAAAATATTGTAGACTCACTTTTGTATTGCCCATCTATATTTGTTGCTGGGAAGGATGGAAGTTGTGATGCAACACACAGTGTTTACACAGCGAAGGGAAAACTCTTGTCTATAGAGATTCTCAGTCATCCAAGTCATGGTTATCCCAAAGGTGCTTCTTCAAAAGGCAACTGGACTTTCTTTATTGTAAACTTAAATTCTGTGATTAATTCAGGAATTCGCTTAGTAAGGGACAGTTTTTCTTGCAGTAGGACCTCTTGGGATAGCATAATATTTTTTTTAATCATCTGTTCACATGAAACAGAAAATAAGGAGGAAAAAAGGGTTCCAGGGCCCTCGCATCCTTTCCTCTACATACAGCATGTCATTTCAGGACGTTTCTTGACTTCCCAGTCTAACCTACATACAGAGGACGTGAAGCTTACCAGAAGACCTAACCATGGAGAGAGAAATAAATCTCTTCACATGCTCAAGAATACGATCGCAACCACTTCCAGCGTTATCTCTTCGACTGTTACACAAGGATGGACTTTTCCCGAGTTCGGGCTGGGTCCAGCCAGCAATCACACTAACGGGGATGTGGGGGGGGGGAGGCAAGGCGACAGTCGACGGGGCGCCTACAGCCACCCCGGTGGGTCGTTCTGCGCCGCCGCCGGCAAAGTCCCACGCAGGAAGCGTTGCGCAAGGGACGCTGAGCCCCCGCCGGACGCAAAAGAAGCGGGGCGATCGCGCAACGCCGAGAAGAGGCAGCATTCGCAACTCGTGCTGCGTCTTGAGACACGTGAGTTTGGGGAATGGTGTCCTCGGGCAGGGCGGGATCGGGGTTCCTCGGTGCCCCTGTGGGGTTTTCCTGGCTGGGCGCTTCTGCTCGGTGTCCCGCCAGGCTTTTGACTCCGGGGTGAACCGCATGTGGTTAGGAAAGGCAATTAAAAAAAAGGGGACGGAGAAGGATTTCTTTCGATAAATCCGATCAAAAAAGTCTTTAGACAGTAAAAGGAGATTTCTTTTTCACGCCTCCAGCTTTGCAGGGTTGCCCAGATGATGGCAGGCGCGCCAGTGTCCCTTCTTCCAAGCGTCAAACGTTCAGTTTTTGGAAGATGATTGATAGATAGTTGGGCTTCATTTGATTCGTCTTTCATCAGGAGGATGAAAAAGGACTAGGTAGAGGTTTCTTTTTACTTCCTGAGAAAGAGCGACCTAAGAACTTGTGAAGGGCTGGAACGGGAGGAAGTCTTCTGAATGAGGACAAGCTACACGCATTCTAGGTCCTAGCGCTGTTTACTTTTAAAATCATGTTTTAGAAAATATATTGAACTTAGAATTGGAGGTTCAATTCTTCAAAAGAAGAAAAGACTTCTTTTCTTTTTGGTTTGAAACCAAACTTACTCAACTAGCTTCTTCAGTTCTTAGAGATATGTTGTGCCTGTATATAATAGTAATAAAAGCAATAAAGTTTGGTTTTGCAATAATAAAAAAACAATGAAAGCAAAGAAAGCAAAACTCATGTCCTATTCTCATGTGTAATGTCAGCTAGGCTGGCACCAGCGATATTTATAATGGCAATAGCCCGAGTCATGCTTAAAAATGCTCCTTTTTCTCTTTTGAATTTAATCTTGCGAATGTTGGTAGTGCAAAGCTAATGCAAAGTCGTTTGAAAATAGTGTATTTGTTTTACTTTCAAACATGTCCCCCTCAAAATTCATTATAAGCACAGTTTATGAAAATGGCCAACTTTATTTCCATTCTTTCATATTAGCATGAGAGGAAAACGTTTTGGTGGATGTAAATTCTACGGAGTTTTATCCTTAAGTTCTTTTTAGAAGGGAGATTTCTTGCTGCTTGTATATGAGATGGAAATTTAAAAAATTGTTTATGTTGTGAAACCTTTTGCAAGCAGGATGTTGTCCAGAATTCTTCTGTCTGAAAATCACTCCTAATCCTTCCCAGTTTTCCAGGAAAAAAGCCAAAAATGTCTTTCAGGAATTTTGTATCAGAAGAAAGGAATGATGCTAATAAACAGTTCTAGTTTTAGAGGCACAAACATCTAAAATTTTGAAGTTTGGATCAGCTCAAATATTGCCATTTGTGCAAGTGGTTAATGCCTTATATTCATATCTTCATAGTCTCCAAGACGCCTAGAAAATGCAGATTAAATTGAAATCCAATTGCAAGTAGTATTTTAGTTGCAAAAAAAAAAATTACTTTGTGTTTTCCTCCAAATAGTTGCTTTATGTTCTGTTTTTGCTTTAGCTGAACACTTTCTTAGATTAATTCTTCTTGATGTTAATAATGCCCTTCTACCCGGTTTGCCATTCCTGGTTGAAATTTTCTTTTGCAAAGAGTTGACCTTGCTTGCCCTCTAATGTCAAATGTTGAGTTGCCACATTGGACTAAGTGTCTTTTGTTGATTTTGGATTTAATACAAGCTATAAACCTATCTACTGTGGTTTTCAACATTGCTTGCGGCTTAACATGATACATCAATCACTTGTGCAAAACCATGGTAGAATTAATCAATGGCTTATTCAATTCCTGGCATTTTCCTTTGCAGATCCTTTCTGAAAATGAGTTTTGCAATTGAGGAAGTTTCCTTTTCAGGGATCATGATTGCTTTATGTACTGTGATGTCAGTATTCATTTATGTACGAATGTTAACAAAGAACAAACAACCATACCCACCAGGACCTTGGTCACTTCCTATATTGGGGAATCTTCTTCAGCTTGGAGATCATCCTTATGTTTTCTTCAATCAGATGAGAAAGAAATATGGAGATGTGTTTCAGATACAGCTTGGAAGGGTTCCTGTTGTGGTTGTTAATGGCCTGGATGCTGCCAGACATGTCCTGCTGAGGGATGGAGAAAGTTTTGCTGGCCGGCCCGATATGCACACTTTTTCTTTTTTTGCCAATGGCGAGAGCTTAACATTTTCGGTGAAGTTTGGAGAGAGTTGGAAGCTGCAGAAAAAGGTTGCTGCCAAGGCATTGAGATCACTGGCCAAATCTGAAGCCAAGTCCTCCACTTGCTCTTGTCTTCTAGAAGAGCATGTTTGCGCTGAGGCATCCGAACTGGTGAAAACTTTTTTAGAACTCTCCAAGAAAGGGAGCTTTGATCCCGTTGCGGTGACAACCTGCACTGTGGCTAATGTAGTCTGTGCCCTGTGTTTTGGCAAGAGGTACGGCCACAGTGATGAAGAATTTCTGAGTGTGATCCAAATGAGTCATGATCTTATAAAAGCCTCAAGCGTCTTCAATCCCGCTGACTTCATCCCGTGCCTTCGTTATCTTCCACTTCCTGCTGCGACGGTTGCCCGCGCGTTTTATGGAAAGTTCAACAACTTTGTGGCACAACATGTGGAAGACCATTATGCCACGTATGATAAGGTAAGCATTTAACAGTGGGAATTGAAAATGTTTCTGTATTGCTTACTGTTAAGATATTTAATTTAATAGCTTGAACAGTAAAGTGTATAATGGGCCAGAACACACAGTTGTAGTTGTTTGGTTGGAGAGTGCGGGTTCCTGCATGAGGCAATCTACGTTATGATTGGTTGCTGGGTGAGAAGGGGGAGTTTCCCTTTTCCCCGCCTTTTTTCTTCTGTGTGCTCTGTATGATGTTCTGAGATTTACTTAATGATTTACCTCATGATGTTCCTGACTATCTTGTCTGCTGTGAATATAGATGTTAAATATATTTATTTATATAAAACTACAAGTTTGTTTCAGTGTCTCTGGCTTCATTTGAACACCTGCTGTGCGATTCCTTGACACTTATACTTCCATCTTATGCTTAGAGGTTCTACCGGTAGTCCTCGCATAGCAACAATAATTGGGACCAGCAACTCTGTTGCTAAGCAATGCCGTCATAAAGTGCAATGTCACGTGACTGCGGCAACTTATGGTGGCAATTGTGGCAGTTCTGGTTTCAATTATTAAGCAAGTCCACCATTAAGCATGTCATCTGATCGCCATTTATGATCTCCGGTTGGCTTCCCTATTGACTTTACTTGTCAGAAGCCGGCACTGAAGGTTGCAAGTGATGATCTTATGATCATAGGATGCTCTGATCATTGTAATTGCCAGCCAGTGCCCAAATAGCAATCATGTGACTATGGGGACACAATGATGGCTGCAACTATAAGGACCAATCATAAATCTCCCTGTTGTCAATTAGAATGATCACCGAATGAGTCATCAGTAAACAAGGACCACCTCTATGTTTTTAGCTTGCTTTTTCTTAGCCCGTAACTCTTCATGGCTCTTGATTAATTTATTTTTGTATTATATTTGTTTTTTCCCCAAAAGAACTTCTCTTTGTATTCTAAAGGCCTACATTTGAGTTATAGGAAAAATAATGTAAATTCTCTCAGTATAGAATTAAACAAATTACAGTTTACAGAGTGTATAGTGTGAGAACTTTAGATGAAAATAGCATCCTATATTTTGTTTGCTTCCTTTAGAACGTTCTCAGAGACATCACCGATGCCTTAATTAATGTTAGCAATGAAAGAAAAGCAGATGAGAAAATTGTAACCTTATCAAATGAAAAAATAATAATTACTGTCAATGATATCTTTGGAGCTGGTAAGTATTATTCCCCCCTCCCCCCCACACTTTAAGTTAAGGTGTCTTTTGGTGTGATCCTCTTTTCGACAGAGAAGATGTGAAAGAATTATAAGGACACACACACACACACACACACACACACACACACACACACAAAATTCTTCTTGCTGGGTTTAGCAAGCAACAGAGCAACAATTTCAGAGTGATGAAATTCAAATGAAGAATGACTGACACCAGTCTGTCTCTGTAACAATCTCTAGTCTGATTCATATATCCAAACCTTATATGAAGTTATAATGAATGGACGTCATACAGGTAGTCCTCGACTTACAACAGTTCATTTAGTGAATGTTCAAAGTTACAACGGCACTGAAAAAAGTGACTTACGACCATTTTTCACAACTACGACCCTTGTAGCATCCCCATGGTCAGATGATCAACATTGGATGCTTGGCAACTTTTTCATATTTGTGATGGTCGCGGTGTCCTAGGGTCATGTGAATAGCTTTTGTGACTTTCTGACAAGCAAAGTCAATGGGGAAGCTAGATTCATTTAACAGCCATGTTACTAACTTAACAACTGCAGTCATTCACTTAACAACTGTGGCCAGAAAGGTCTTAACAAATGTCTCACTTAACAGCATAAATTTTGGACTCAATTGTACGTTGAGGACTACTTGTTCTGTGATTGCAACTGAACCAGTGGTGGGTTGCCCCCGGTTCGGACCGGTTCTATAGAACCGGTAGTAAAACCGGTGGGAGGCTCCGCCTGCCAACCCCGACATCATCAGAAGTGCGCGTGTGGCCCTGTTGCAAACCGGTAGTAAAGGTAAGCAGAACCTATCCCTGAACTGAACATAGTCTAATTCACTTCTTCATTTAGCATGTATGTTACAGCATGGTGTTAAGAGCTTGAGGCTGATGAAACATAGTTATTTCTACCCTTCTATTGCATTTGTTGATAGCTAACCAGGGTGACTTGCTCCTTGTTGGGCAGGGATAAGTCTGTGGACCATCCTTTGAGCCACTGTGAAGAATATTCTAAGCATCTGACTCAAATTTGCCTAAACTTAAACTCCAACTGGGTTGGTCCAGTCAAGGTGTCTGACACACAGCCATGCTTGGTTATCTGGGAAGAACTTGACCCTGTAATTCCTGAGAAAGTAGAAGAACCTTGGTACTGTGCATCTGGCCACCTTAGAAGAACCTGGTCCTTTCCAGTTTGTGAAGGCTGCTGGGAAGCGATATGTGTTTGGGACAGTAGCCTTTTAGGTGGTTTTTCCATTGGCCTTTAAAGAGGTGGTGATATGCTCCCTCCTCAAAAGATCATTGATGAACCTTAACATCCTGGACAAACAACCTTTTTGGAAGGTTGTTGAAAATGTGATTGGGTTGTGGTTTTCAGATGTTCCTGGAGGAAGTGGATTATCTGGATTCTTTTCCATTATGTTTCAGTTGGGATCCAGAATACAGACAGCGTTAGTTACACTTGATGTGCTATCATCCTTGTTCTTCTTGATGTCACAATGGCTTTTAAAACCATCAACCATGGTATCATTTTGGTCAGGTTACAGGGAGTGGGAATGGAGGGCACAGTTTTATGATGTTCTTCTTTCCCCATGGTTGATTCCAATTAGCATTTGTTGGAGGGAGGCCGGAGGCTCCCAATTTTCAAGGGGTCTAAGAATTTGACACCCTGTCAGCTGCCACCTTATGCTTGTTTGTGCTTCGCTGCTATGCAGTGACAGGCTGCTAGGAACTATGGGGTGGGGAAATGAAGGGGGGAAGTCTTGGGGAAAACGAAAGTAAGTGCTGCATCTCTTCAAGGCGCAGCCTCAAGGTCACCCAGCTGGAAGAAGGAGGGAGCCACATACCAAACCCGAGTTTGGACTAAGCATTATGAAAACATCTTGCCTGAACCTGATTGGTTACAATGGGGTGGACAATGAGAGAGTTAAGGGAGGGAAAAGTAGAACTTAGGGATTTTGGTGCACGATTCTCAGTTCTTGGTTTGCAATACTGCAATACACTTGACCTCTAATAAACTATACTATTCCCAACAAATGGAGTCAAGGATCGTTTCTGTTTAGAGGTTTAAGGTATGGCAGGTCTGACACATCCTCCACTTTTGTTCAACATCTGTATGAGAGCACTAGGAAGGTCAACCATCAGTTCAGGGTCAGGAATCATTAATATGCTAATGACTCCTGATTATATCTCAAATCTGGGGCAATTAAGGAGTGCTGTCCAGGCCTTTTCCAACTCTGGAGGTTTGTAAGAGTCTGGGTTAGGGATCTGTAGAGGAATGCAGAGGTATTTTTATCAGAGAAACCCAAGAGATGTTATGTACTGGTGCTGATCATTACTTATAAAGTCCAGGGTCTACATAGCATATGAACTAGGTGTCTGAAGACCACTCTGTCTCCTTTAATGTCTTCCTGCAATGTTTATTCCAATTGTGTGGACTAGAAGCAGGTCCATTCAATTAAGTCACGTTACCTAGTGGATCGCGGATGACAGGCCTTCTCTGTCGGGAGAGACAGGGGAACCTTCCCTTTGAAACAATTTTCCCCGGAAAGATTCCCACGGCTCCCACCTTGTTCATCTTTAAATGCTGTTTTAAAAAAATGGCCTTTGTTTCAGGCCTTGTTATGGGTGGGATGCTCGAAGTTGTGAGCAATGTAGGTTTTGGTACTTGAATGATCAATATTTTTATTTCTATGGTTGTTTTCTACCATCTTGTTTTAAGTTTGCAGTACCAGTCAAGGTCATGGACAGACCTGGGAATTCAAGAATGAATGAATGATACTATTCATTTATTTGTATGATTTCTAGGCAATTTTATTAATACATGCTACTCTGTTCCATGTTGAAATATTGACTGTTAGCTAAACTGCAAAAGTGAGCTACCAAAAATAATAGATTTCTATTGATACATCCAAATGTTGTTAACTTGGAAAAAATTGTATGCTATAAAGACATTTTAAATGAGAAAGGGGAACTTAAAACCAGACAGGAACTACAAAAAAGGTGTGGATTTAGCATGGTGCCCACACTTGCAAATACAATCGAGATACGAGAAACATGGAGTTTCTATAAAGAACCAACAACACTTGATAAGATGTTATCAGGGACAGATGAAAAACTGATAAGAAAATTATACAATTACCTACTAAGCTTTAAAATGGAAGATGAACAAGTTAAAGAAACAATGATAGTGTGGGCAAAAATTTTGGCTATACTATAGAACTATAGAACTAGATAAATGGCAAAAACTTTGGGATAGAAATTACAAACTGACAATGGCCACTGCATATAAGAAAAATCTTTATAAAATGTTTTATAGGTGGGATTTGCCACTGGCAAGATTAGCAAAATGTTTAACAATTAGCAAATGCTGTTTAACAACAGCAAAAATGTCTGCCAAATGTTGGAAATGCAATCAGACTCTAGGTACTTATCATATGTGGGGGACATGTATGAAAGCAAGAAAATATTGGATGAAAATAAATACATGGTTGGAAAACATGATTAAGTAGCATATAGATTTAAAGCCAGAAATATTTTTGTTAGGTATAATACCAGAAAGCTATGACAAAGGGACTATATATTTAATGCTACATGTATTGACAGCAGTGAGAATTGTATCTGCACAATACTGGAAAAATGAGAACACCCCACCAGATGAAAATATAATTCAGAAAATATTGGACTGTGCCACAATGGATAGATTGACATTGAAAATAAAAGATAAAGAAGATACAGAGTATTATTTAACGTGGAATAGGTTTTATCAATGGTTAGAGATAAGAGGTAGCAATTAGATGAAGAAAGAGCATTATTATGTGTAAGTAAAATATGAATGTTGTTTAAACTGTAACTATAAATATGCTAATATAATTAATAAGATCATAAATTAGCTAATATAATTATAAATATGGTTAGAATCATGTGTATTATTATTATTATTATTATTATTATTATTATTATTATTAGTTAATCTTTAGTGAGATTCATAGCCTTTGAGGCTGGTTAATAGCTCAGCAGCTCGAGTCCTGACCAAGGACCTAGGAACTGTTAAGGTATCGTCGGAGGATGTAAGATGTTCCGAGTAAGGTGGTTTTTTGTAGAGTCAAAATGTTCAAGTCTGGCAAATTTAGAATTTCTAAATAGTGGGGTAGCCCTTTGGGTATTGCTCCAAGGGCTCCAATTACAATCGGGACAACACATGATTTCTTTTTCCACAGTCGCTCAACTTCAATTTGCAAGTCCTGGTACTTTGTGATTTTTTCTTGCTGCTTATCTTCAATCCGTGCATCACCAGGTATTGCAATGTCAATGAACCATACTTTTTTCTTTTCAACTATTGTTATGTCAGGTGTGTTGTGGACCAAGTGCCTGTCAGTCTGAATCCTAAAGTCCCACAAGATCTATTATTATTATTATTATTATTATTATTATTATTATTATTATTATTATCAGTATATCTATTACTTTTTCTTTTTTCCTTCTGTAAAATGAAATGCCCGGACAATACACTATATTCAAAATACTTATATATAAATAAAAAAACTTGACTTAGAAAAAACTAATAATAGATTTCTGATTTGGAAAAATCAGTTTCATACGGAATCTGTCCTCCAGGTTTTTAGATATTTATTTAATTACTTTATTTATTTATTTGTATCCGCATTATTATTTTTACAAATAACTCAAGACAGCTAACATATCCAACACAATTAATGTACATGTCGGTTATAAGCTTCAGTGCCCAGGTTTCAGCTACAAAGTTCTAATGTTGCTGCAATTCTAATGTTGCTTCCTTTCTTTCCCAGGTTTCGGGACACTCTCATCATGTTTGCAATGGATTTTTCTGTACCTGATAAACAACCCAGAAATTCAGATGAAAATTCAAGAAGAAATTGGTAACGCTTTTGTGTTATTTTAAAATAAATAGAAAATACCATGCTGTGAAACAGTAGTTTACTCGGCTTCCATTAAATGAATTTCAACTCCAATAGAGCAAGTTTTTGGAGCAATTTCAGCTTGCAAAACGATGCAGATAATAGTTCCATTCGGGTAATGATCTCAACTTGCAAATGACATAATTTGCAACATACCACTTGTATCAATCACTATAATTACATATTCAGACTTAATGGGAATAATAACTACCCCCTTTGCCGAATTGATATATCAAATTGATTCCTTTGTAATATAAAGATTGAAGATTGCTGTTATGAAATAGTTTGTGTTAAATAAGTTCTGTTTTATATATTTTTGAAGATGGAAAGATTGGGCTAAGGCCTCCAAAGTTTGAAGACCGAAAAGACTTGCATTATACAGAAGCTTTCATCAATGAAGTCTTCAGACACAGCTCTTTTATTCCATTCACTATACCTCACTGGTGAGAAGGAGAATTGAAGAATGGGTTGTTTATACTGTAGGCAGCTTCTGCTAGTACTGTAATTTGACATCTATGTGGCATTGACACAAAAATCCCCTATAATGTGAGATTTTATATTGTCAAAGAAAGGGAAAGAGATACTAGATGAACAGTATTTGCTATTATTGAATTTTTACAGAATGCAGTAACCATGGCAAGGAGAGAAATATGCTATAATTTTTATTTCAATAAATGCTTTACAAAATGAAATATCAATTAAAAAATTACATTTATATGCCATCCATGTCACCATTACAGAGACTGGGTGGCTTACAATATGATAAAAAACTAGAAAGGGTTAGGACCTTATCTCCAGTGGGAAAATACATGTCTTCCTACATTTATGCAAGGTTATTTTGTTCACATGTTTGAAAACAGTGTGGAAGAATGTTAAAAGATTGTGCTAATCCAGGGTCACCATGTTGGACTAAATGCTGTTTTATTTTTAATATTTTTTAGTACTACCAAAGACACTCTTCTCAATGGGTATTATATTCCACAAAATACCTGTATCTTCATTAATATGTATCAAGTTAATCATGATGAGTAAGTATTAGAAGAAAATAATAATAATAATAATAATAATAATAATAATAATAATAATAATAATAATAAAAAAAACCAATAATAATAATAATAATAATAATAATACCACCTAGGATGCTGGCAGCAACCCGTATCAACCATTAGCACCAGTCAGTGGTATTTGTGATGCATTTTTGAATGTTCAGTTGACTGAGTTTCATATTTAATGAATAAAGATGATGATGATGATGATGATGATGATGATGATGATGATGATGATGATGACGATGATGACGATATTAGACTTGTTACTGTGCTTTCCCCCCCTTATATTACTTACAAATGTATTGAGAGCCGGTTTGGTCTAGTAGTTAAGGTACCAGGCTAGAAATCAGGAGACCATAAATTCTAATCCTGCCTTAGTCATGAAAATTGACTAGGTGACTTTGGCCCATTCACTCACTCTCAGCCCATAATATCAGACTTAGACAACCAATTCCTGAATCTCCAAAGCAATCAACACTTGGTTGATTTGGAAAAAAGAATGGATCCTATACTTGCAGGAAATGACTATAAATTTAAACAATTCTGAGGACTTAATGGCCCACTTTTAGCTACTTCCTGAACTTCGTGTGTGGACAGTCTGATATTAATAGTTAAAAGATGTCCCAAGGGTAGTACATCTGGCACCCCGGTGGATGGCTGTACAGATATTTGTATTAAATTCCAGATGATGACACTAGCCATTTTGCTCAGTAAATTGCAACAACTTCACAGCTTCTTCACCGAAATCAAATTCAGCCTACCTTAAAGCATACCAAATGTATTTTCTCAGATTATTCTGTAACCCATTGGAGTACAGATACATTCATCTTTTGAAGCTCCTTTAAGCAATTCTTTTAAAAACATATATTTTCCTGAATAATTCAGTGTCCCTTTTCTATATGAGAAAGAAATTGTAGGGAGCAAATTTCTGGACAACTCAAGTTCTGCAAATAAGAGAGCCATGTTCAAAGGCTTTTAGATGACCCTTGAAGTTGTGACTAGGCCACTCTCATTCTGTGATGGTTGATTTTTAGAGATCATTTAGACCAGGGGTCTCCAACCTTGGCACCTTTAAGACTTGTGGACTTCAACTCCCAGAATTCCTCAGCCAGCTTTGCTGGCTGAGGAACTGTGGGAGTTGAAGTTCATAAGTCTTAAAGTTGCCAAGGTTGGAGACCCCGATTTAGACTACCCTTTGCCCAAGCTTCATATGTTGAGCATAAAGTTAGGAAACATGGATTTATGTATTGTATCCTTGGTAGTAATGCTGTTTAGTTCTTCTCCTAACAAGACCTTTAATATTCACTATAGATGAGCACAGATGACGTTATGTAAATGTCACAATTATGTACTTGAGTTGCAATACAAATTCATAAATCACAGTGTTGATTATGACATAGTCTTGCACATTTTATCATTTCCCTTCTGATAGACAACCATGAGGGTGTTGCTTTTCTTTTTCTCAGATAGCGGTCAAATGATATAGATGGCTGGCGGATTTAATTTTTGAAATGAATTGAAATATGCTGGTGGCTATATGAACTCTTTCCATTTTTTTATCGTATTTTAGTTTTCCTCTTTTTATTTCTACACTCATTTATTCCTTCCAGAAACCTGTGGATAGACCCTGACGTATTTAAACCACAGAGATTTTTGAATGAAAATGGTGAACTCAACAAGAGCTTGATTGAAAAAGTTCTGATCTTTGGAATGGGGCTCCGAAAATGTTTGGGAGAAGAAGTAGCCCGCAATGAGATCTTTGTTATCCTCACTACTATCTTGCAGCAGCTGAGATTGGAAAAGCTACTTGAAGAACAGCTAGATATAACACCAGTATATGGACTGTCTATGACACCTAAGCCCTATAGAATTTGTGTGTCACAGCGGGCTTGACTTGAAGAAGAGTATGAGCAAGAAGCAGCTTTCTTTCATCACCAAATAATTGTCTGAAATAATGTAATGCAAAGCTGCTGTTTCGAAGTTACATTTTTTTCCAAATGTGTTGGATGCCAACTTCCATCTCTCTAATAGAAATAAGTGTCCAGCATATCTGAAGGAAATCAAAAACTCCTATGGTTTTATAGAATATTTGTATGACACATGGGGTTATTTAAGAGTAATTTCCTTTATTTTTCACCTATAGGCAAAATCTTGCCAGAGTAAAGCACATATGTAACAGACATATACACATGCTACATACATACATAAATATATACCTACACCATACATATAAAGCAGTGGGGAAAGGAGAACACTTAAAAAGCCCTGGCATCAGGGGTGAAATCCAGCAGATTCTGACAGATTCTGGAGAACCAGTAGCAGAAATTTTGAGTAGTTCGGAGATTTGGCAAATACCACCTCTGACTGGCCCCAGAGTGGGGTGGGAATGGAGATTTTGCAATATCCTTCCCCCAGGAGTAGGGAGGGAATGGGGATTTTGCAGTATCCTTTCCCTACCACGCCCACCAACCCACGCCCACAGAACCAATAGTAAAAAAAATTGAATTTCACCACTGAACTACAGATTTACTCTGGGAATAGTCAGGGTGTAACTTTTTAATCCTTTTTTTTTTTTTTTTTGTCAACCAAACTTTCCAAGCTCCACTGCCTCTTTGCCCTCTGGAAAGCCTTTGTAAATCCAGATTACGTTCCAGCTCAATAATGGACTGGATGAGGACCAACATACTGAGACTCGGTGCAGACGAGATGAAGATATTGATTGTGGGCGGTGGATTTGAGTGGTTGCCTGCCTGTCCTGGAGAGGCCTATATTTGTTTGAAATGAACAAGTTCATAGTTTAGGGCTGCTCCTAGATCCATCAGTTTCATTAGAAGTCCAGGTGGTCTTGGCTCAGGGTGCTTTTTATCACCTTTGGGCTGGTTTACCAACTGTGACTTTACATGGACAAAGATATTCGCACTTTTGAGTAACGTCTGAGTGGATTATTTCAATGTGTTGGAAATGAATCTGTGTTTGAAAATGGTCTAAGAACTTTGAATAGTTCAACGTGGACTGCACGTTGTGACTGGCTAATAAAAATATATTATGTTAGTTCTTTATCATTTACAGTCACTGCTGGTCCGTTTCTGACTCAATGTTTTGGCCTTGAGCTTTAAAGGTCTTCACAGTTTAGGACCAGATTACCAAAGAAGCACCTTTCCAGACTTTGAGTTTATCTAATGAAACCCTCTTCCAGATCCCCTTCCCAAGAAAAGTGAGGTGATCTTCGCAAGAGGAAGAGCTTTTTCTGTAGTGTTGCTCAGTGGTGGTATCCAAATTTTTTTACTACTGGTTCTGTGGGCGTGGCATGGCTTGGTGGGCATGGCAGGGGAAGGATATTGTAAAATCCCCATTTCCACCCCACTCCAGGGTAAGGATACTGTAAAATCCCCATTCCCTCCCCACCCCACTAACCTGCTTTCCAGCTCCGTTCTCCTGTGCAGAATAACAAAAGAAGACCCAGCCTATCAGCTGGAACTCGGGAGGCAACGAATAGATGGGGGCGGGGCCAACCAGAGACGGTATTTACTGGTTCTCCGAACTACTCAAAATTTCCACTACCGGTTCTTCAGAACCTGTCAGAACTGGCTGAATACCACCTCTGGTATTGCTCCATTAATGCAACTCCTCCCGAGAGAACTTAACTTACTCTCACATTAGCATCATTCAGCACCTGACAAAGACTTGTGAATTGTTTTTTACTTATGATTTAGTTCATGTGGTTTTAATTTTCAAATGAATGCCTGCAGCTTCCTATCTTTTTAGTTCGCATTTTATTTGATTGTATGTGTTTTTATTCAAAAATATTATTGCAGCGTACTTTATTTTAAACAGCGCAGAATGTTTCAGCTAGTGGGGTGGTTTAGAAAGTTTAATAAATAAATAAAAATACATGCCATGGCAAGCTGTTTCCATCAATGAATAATCATAACCATTTTTTTTAAAAAAATTCTGTATCGGATGCACTTAACTTTGAAATAAAATATTTTCACGTATCTTTCTCTGTTCTGAGTAAATCCATTTAGCACTGCAAGATGCTCTGTGCTACCTGTGTACAAGCAGCTATTTTTACTGTTTGTTTGACCCTTTTAGAGCTGTAGGTGTGAGTGTATTGTTAGATTGCTGAAGTCAGAGGCTTTCATAGGATCTGATGCTTTCAATATTGACACAATCTTTTCTGTAGATGTTTCTGCTTGCAACCACTTGAAACACTTGTTGGGTTTTGGAATCAGGAGCTTGAGGCTTTTGTTCATTACAGAGCATATGAAATATGTGGAGAAGCTGAGCTGCTGCCTTTATACTGTGAAGGAGAATTCAGAAGTAGTAGAAAAGGAAGCCCTTAATAGCATCCATTTAAAATATGTCACTTTTTTTGAGAAAGTTTAACCAGACTAACAAATACAGGTACTCCTCAACTTAACAATCACAATTGAGCCCAAAATGTCTGTTGCTAAGTGAGACATTTGTTAAGTGAGTTTCCCCCTCCCCCTTTATGACCGTTCTTGATGCATTTGTTAAGTGAATCACTACAGTTGTTAAGTTCAGTCTGGCTTCCCCGTTGATTTTGCTTGTCAGAAAGTCACACAAGGTGATCACCCCAAGACACTGCAACCAACAGAAATACAAATTGGTTGCCAAGCATCTGAATTGTGATCAGGTGGTCCTAGACAGTGGTGGGATTCAAATAATTTAACAACTGGTTCTCTGCCCTAATGACCGGCTGAGTGGTTGTGGCCATGGTGGTTGTGGCCATGGCGGTTGTGGCCAGGGGGTGTGACAGGCGCACTTGACCTCCTGCACCCCCTGGGAGCAAAAACACCCCCATTTTGGACCTAGTAGGCCTCCCTGAAGCCTACTGGGAGCAAAAACAGGCCGTGGGGGGGAGAACGTACTGCACCCCCACACCTCATTTTGGGCCTACTGGGAGCCAAAATGGAGTGTGTGGGGACTCCTGGAAGGGGCGGGGTGGGGAAGGGCGGGGCTAGCCAGCAATTTAACTACCGGTTCGCCTGAACTGGCCCGAACCGGCTGAATTCCACCAGTGATCCTAGGGATATTGCAATGGTCATGTGAAAAGCGTTCGTAAGTCACTTTTTTTCAGGGCCATTGTAACTTTGAATGGTCACTAAATGAACCATTGTAAGTCGAGGACTACCTGTATCAAGCAATTTGTGGGCTAACTGGAATAAGTGAATCTTTTGCATGTTTTGTAATGGCCTATCTCCCTTGCAAATCAAAATGAACTCCAGCGTAACTCTTGCAAGGCAGGGCATCCTATGACGTAATATAGTTTTAAGAATACGTCTGTCTAAAATAATTAAGTGAAGGCGATTTCCATGTAGCAGATCTGCAGAATAGTCCTATGTACATTGACCTGAAAGTTCATCAAATCCAATGAACTTTATTTCCCAGTCAGTGTGTCATAAATTTGTAGCTGAAATCTGTCAAGGAGATGAATATTAAAAAACATAATTCTACAAAGTCTTAAGAAGAAACAAAATGTAAACTTAAAAGCCAGATGTTTTCTTAGTTTGCTGGTCTTATGCTGAAGAAAAGGAGAACCTGACAAAATGGCCAATTTCATTCCTGGTCAGTTTTGTCTGGCTATTGAGAAGCAGGTTTAAAGCCTTTACTTAAATGTTACCTTAAAGAGTCAGCAGGAATGAAATTGGCCATTTTATAAGGTTCTCCTTTGCTTCAGCATAAAGTAACATTTGCTGGGGGAAAAATATCTAAAGTTCAGGAGCTGGTAGGAAAGTTGACAAATGAAGGGTCTCCCCAATGGGAAACTAAAGCTGCAATGGCTTAAAAAGTAGTTTGAACTTTGCTCTGGATATTCATTAACTCAGTTTTCAGTGCTGTTGCAGAGCTGGGATCACAAGTTCAAAGGTTTCCAAACTAACACAACTGAAATGTCCATAGTCATGGATTGATGAATTGGTCAATCTTGCTTTCAAGTTTCTTATTATTCCTCGTGCCTCATGCCATGTTCAAATCAGATTTTTTTTATCGTAGGTTTGCATGAAAATACATTTTTTGCATACTTTCCTAATGCAAATTTTAAGTATATTTAGACAGATGGGATACTTTCCCCCCTTCATTTATGCATTTAGTGCAGAGGTCTCCAACCTTGGCAACTTTAAGTCTGGAGGACTTCAACTCCCAGAATTCCCCAGCCAGTGGGGAATTCTGGGAGTTGAAGCCCTTGAGGCTTAAAGTTGCCAAGGTTGGAGACTCCTGATTTAGTGTACTATTTGTTCAAAGTTTTACATTTTGGAGTGGTCACTTTCTTGAATATACACCTTTAAAATTTTGAAGCGGCACTGCCAATCTAGAGCACTGTGTATATAAAAGTAAAGTTCTGTTCCAGCTTACCGATTGCTCTGAGCAGTATGAACTAAGTAAAATATAAAGCAAACAAACTGAAGTGGGTAAGCATACAAACATTTTCCAGAGCAAAAGCCAATTTGAAGATGAGGAATGATTCACAGTTGTTAGCAACCCAGATTGAATCCAGATCAAATAAAAAATCTCAAATAACAGATGTTGGAGAAGGGACAATTTAACCGTAAAGTGCTGGATAATGATTGCTCCTGGGCAGGGGTGGGTTCTACTTACCTTTACTACCGGTTTGCAACGGGGCCGCGTCCGCACTCGCAATTTTGATGACATCAGGGTTGGTGGGCGGAGCCTCCCACCGGTTTTACTACTGGTTCTATAGAACCGGTGCGAACCGGTGCTCCTGGGATATATGAGATTTATGTAGGATATATAGAACTGCAGAGACATGGGAAGACTAAATTCCAATGGAAGCATGCATGGTGACTTTGGAAAAACCTTCTTGAGATAGTTTTATTAATATCTACTTCCATCCTTTGTATGCATAAATTCCACTGGTATAATACAGCTACAAAAGAAAAGAAAAATAAAATGTGTGGATACAAACAATATTCACTGCCACCACCAGCATCCAAGATTGTGCACAGGGAAATGGTGTGGACCACCAACAAAAAATGAAGACTAAAGGGAAAAAATATTGTAGAAAAACATCGCTTTATTTGAGGATATCCATTTATTGTTTAAGTATTTTCTCCCTATAATACATGCATCTTCTCTTATGGGTTTTCTATGGGTTTAGCCGTATGTTATCCTATTATAGGCTTCTACAGATTTATTTACAGCAACTTCCTTTTCAATATGTATCTTATTCAATGGGCTTATGATTCATTATGTATCATAATTGCTGCAATTTTTCATAAATTCATTTTCTCCTGTTCCTCCCCCCCCCAAATCCTTCTTTTTTTTTTTTTACACAGGCAGCCTATTGCTGAGCACATTGTAAGCCGCCCTGAGTCTTCGGAGAAGGGCGGCATATAAATCAAATTAAAAAAAAAAATGTCTGACTTTTCCTTTTAGGCCTTGTTCCGTTCTAAATAGTTCTCATGACTTTCTGTTGCTTTCCCAGATGTTTGCACACCTGGAGGCCTTCAGCTCTCCGCTTCCCATCTGTTCTCCTTGGCACTACAAAGACCTTTCATATTTCCATCATTGCTCTGATAATTATTGTAAAGCCAGAGGCATCAGCTTTTTCTTTCACTCTACATTCCTCTTTAGGCCCATGGGAACTTTGTAGCAAAGAACAACTAGTTTCATAGAAATAAAGCAGCAATGCTCTTATTTTTCAAAACTTTAAAAAGTGTGTGTGTATGAGCGAACACTGTAGCACGGGATGGGAAAGCAAGGGGACATTGACAAAAACTGAAAGGTGCCCAGGAGATGTTTTGAGTGGATTATGAGTTTCCAAGTGTGAGAATTGACTATTGATTTAATGGGCTGTTGCTGGCTCAATTTTAAAATTATGAAAAGTGAAAGTAAAAATAAAAAGTAAAGTGTGTTATTATTATTTGGCTGACTATGAACTGTTTTAAGTAATTGATGTAGAGATATATATTCATGTTAAATTAAATGTCATTTAAAAGAAGGATAGATAAAACGGATAGTCGTTAATTTTTCTTGTTATTTAATTAATCATTGGGCATTCTAAAGTTTATTATATTTGTTCATGTCAAGGCAAGACAATCATTCAACTGATTACATGCTATCTAGAGTTGCTATGAGTTGGAAGGCCTATAAAGTTTATTTAAAACAAGCAAGCAAGTAGATAAATACATTCATATAAATTATGAACAACAAATTAGATTTAAACACAGTATAAAATGTTTTATAATTCAAAATGTAGTTTGCAGAATTTTCACAAGCAACTGTCATAGAAACACTCTTTTTAAATTTACTTTTAATGTTTTTATGATTTTATTATTTATTTACTTATTAATAAAATTTATATAGTTGGCCATCTCATGAGGGAGAGGCATGTATCTTGGTTAATTTGTTCACAGCTGGAAATCAGAGCTGATTTCATCCATGAAAATATAAAAGAATAGAAATGATTAAATCATATACTTAGAAACAAATAATCTAATGTTTGCTACCAAATGTTTGCCACCAAATGGTACAAAATACAATTCAGAACACAAAAAGATTAATTTTCATTGGTACGAATCTTTCAGGAGTCACAGAGAAGGCTAATCCATCTTCACAATTCTTCCTCATGTTTATCATGATAGCATAAAATAATCCTGAAAATGTCTTGTGGATGCTTTTTTTCCATTTCCCTTGTTTCTTTTTTTACTATGTAAAAAAGTTTGAAGTTGATGCAATCATCTCTTTTATTTCTTCTAATTTTATTATGCAGGGCTGAAAAAGGGATATATATTTTAAAAAATCTATTCCAAACAAACCTAAAAACATTGCATGACCACAATCGAGCCCAAGATTTATGTTGTTAAGTGAGAAATTTGTTAAGTGAGTTTTGCTCCATTTTACGATTTTTCTTGCCACATTTGTTAAAAGTGAATCACTGCAGTTGTTAAATTAATAACCTGGTTGTTAATTGAATCTGGCTTCCCCATTGAGTTTGTGAATCAGTTGTCAAGCATTTGCATGTAAATCACGTGACCATGGGAATGCTGCAACGGTCATAAGTCACCATTGGTACACAACTGTAGCAGTTGCAGTGTCTTGGAAAGCTGCTTTAGTGAGCCGTAGACAGATATTGTGCTTGGGCTCCAAAAAAATCTGTTCCAAAATAATTGGAGCATTATATAGCCTTAATATTTATACAGGCAGTCCTTGTTTAGTGACCACGATTAATACTAGAAACTAAGTTGTTAAGTGAAGTAGCTGTTTAAGTGAAACCATGACTGTGTTTATGATCTTATTTCAGCTTTCTTTTTGCGTTACAGATCTGTGAAGGTGAGAATTAGTCATAAAGTTACTTTTTCATCATTGTCATATCCATGAATGGTCACTAAATGAGGCAGTCACTAAACAAGGATTACTTGCACTAACTATAATACATTTTAGCTATCAAAGTGGAAACAAACTGACTGTGAAGACTGAAGACTGTGAAATAGAAATATAAGTACAAAGTTGTACAAGAACAACTCCTTGAAAACAGAATGCATACAGAGACTTCCCTAATGCTGGATTCATTCAAGTCTAATTCTAGTCACCATGAGAAATAGAGAGCATTAGAGTATCTGGTATATCGCCTGCTTTTAATGAGCCTCTGTATTCTTCAGTTTCTTCCCTCCATTTGCATTGCAATGGAAATATTTACAATAGTCTATCTAGGCATGTGTGTGTCTGTGTGTGGAGTATATGACAATTTTATGGTTTCCAAGATGTTTTCCAACATATATGATATGATTTCCCAGAGAACATGAGCAGAAAAACAAATAACCTGCACGAAGCCTACAGAAATAGTAGAAGTAATAAATTGCAGCAACCTGTCACATTGATCAAAAGTTTAGAAAAATTGGGCCTACATGGTAGGATGGAGCCTTACCTCAGTACCATGCCTCCTACAATCTCTACCCATTCATAAAATGTGACTCCGATTTTTGCTCCCAAAGGAGACTTTAAAAGATAAGGTAAGATAACTTTTATTATAATTTTTTTTAATGCAAGCACAATAAAAATGAAATTCTGTTGCCTGCTTGCAAGAGAAAGTGTATATCTATCTAAACACATACGCAACACACATATACACATGCTACATACATACATAAATATATACCTGCACCATACATATAAAGGAGTAGAGAAAGGAGAACACTTAAAAAGCCCTGGCATCAGGGGTGAAATCCAGCAGATTCTGACAGGTTCTGGAGAACTGGTAGCGGAAATTTTTACCAGTTCGGAGAACCAGCAAATACCACCTCTGGCTGGCCCCAGAGTGGGGTGGGAATTGCAGTATCCTTCCCCTGGAGATTTTGCAGTATCCTTCCCCTGGAGTGGGGTGGGAATGGAGATTTTGCAGTATCTTTACCCTGCCATGCCCACCAAGCCACACCACGCCCACCAAGCCACGCCCACAGAACCAGTAGTAAAACAATTTGGATTTTACCACTGCCTGGCATGTATGCCTATATTGGGGTGTGGGCCTAAGATTACTTGGTTATAGTCTAGCTAGTGACATTTACAAATATCTAGCAAAACTCAACCCTACTGCACTCACATCCTAGGACCAGATTGTTATGGTACTTTTGTTTATTTCAGTCTTCTATATTGAAGTACATACTATTGGAGGCATCCACAGCAAACTACTATGACATCATAAAAAGGACACTGATGTGTTGAGGTCATCATGTATGGTGCAGAACAGAAGAAAATATACAAATCAAGGCAACACATGATGCCTGTTTTGTCATTTCCACCTCTGGGACCAGCCTCCCCTCAGTTGCCCATCCATACTGACCTTTCTCCACTCATTGAATCATTTCTGTTTCTGTAATTTGAGGGTTGCACCAATGTTCAGTTTGTAGAAGATCCTTGAGCTCTGTCTCTCGTTTCTGCAAGGATGACCTGATCTGTTCCAGATTGGTTTTAACTTCCAACAGAAATTTCTTTTCTGGTAAATAATCTTGTGCTTCTTCTATATCCACCTGAGTGATACCAAGAAGTTTTGATATATTGCCTCAAAAATCATAAAACCACTGTGCCCAGATTAGCAAAATGTAAAAATGTATTAGCTCGTAGTTCTAGTTAAAGAACAACAATGCATGTTTAAAGCATTTGATTAAAAACTTTACAAAAAAGCAATGTTTAAAAGTTAAGCTAGAAATGCCCTAGTGGTGCTCCTACATGAAATGAAGGTCTTGCTATCTTAAATTTAAATTTAGATGCTTTTCTAAAATTATACAAACCCTAGTACAAAAATTAACAGGAATTGTGGATTTAAAATGTTTTCCTGGAACAAAATCTCATATGATGCCAGCTCAAAGCACCTCTGTTTTATTACAGATTGGGAAAAAGTCCAGATGTTGGCCTTTGCTGAAAGATGAAGATGAGTCTTACCACAAAGGAACCATGTCCATTCTGTGTTATGGTGTCAGATTTAATTTCTCTTGCATTCATTTCTGTTTCTCTATTTTCAGTTACCTGAAAGAAATTAAATTTTATCCAATTCACTTTAATTCATTCATTATTATTATTTTGCTACTAAAAGTATTTTCATTTCTATATAAAAAGATGTTGGCCATGGACTATGGAAGGGGTCTGCAACCTTAAGCACTCAAAGTACTTAAGTGGTCTAAAGCACCCTGTTATTAAGAACAGCTGGCTGCAATTACTGCAGGTTCGAATCTCGCCAAGGCTCTAGGTTGACTCAGCCTTCCATCCATTCTAAGGTAGGTAAATTGAGGACCCAGTTGTGGGGGCAATAAGCTGACTTTGTATAAATATACAAAAGAATGAAGGCTATTGCTTAGCGCATTGTAAGCCGCCCTGATTCTCCGGAGAAGGGCGGCATATAAATCAAATTTTAAAAAAAAAAGAGCCATTTGGACCTGTTTCCCACAGAAAAGAAAACATCGGGAGCCACAAAACCTGGGTGGGCATGGCCAACTCAATTTCGCTCACTTCCACCAGTGAAAGCTAGCCTAGCTACGCCTACCCAGCCGGTCATTAGGGCAGAGAACCAGTTGTTAAAAAACACTGGGAACCGCAAAAGCCTTTTGATATCTCTCTCTCTCCCCTCTCTCCCTCCCCCACTCTCTCTGTATCTCTCTCTCTCTCTCTCCCCCTCTCTCTGTATCTCTCTGCCTCTGCCCTGGCCGCTTCTCCATCCCCTGCCGTCCCCCTTACCTTCTCAGGCCAGGCGAGAGTGACTGGGAGGATAGGGCGAGGGGTGGGGCCAGCCAGTGGTGGGATCACCCGACAGGGAGCCACAGCAGAGGGCCCAAAGAGCCACATGTGGCTCCCGAGCTGCAGGTTGCTGACCCCTGGACTATGGGGTTTTGAAACCAACAAATCGCTCATCAAACTATTACTAGTGCTTATCTCTAAGTCAGCATAGTCATGAAAATTATATGTTAGCTGAGCAAAGCAGGAAAATGAATCTGACAAAATTTTCAGTCCAATTTTCCACAGATCAATTAAAACACTTAAAAATATAAAGTTAAAAACAAACCTCATAGCATTCCAAAATAAACTCAAACTAACTCAGCCTAACTCCAAAAGTTTAAGACTATTCCAATTAAGGTAGAAAAAACTACTGCGGTAGAAAACATCATACTTTTTTCCCCTTCCAGTTGAATTATTCTTTCTCATTCTTTATAAGCAACTTAACATGACTACTTATTCTTCATCTGAAGTCCAATATTTATTTCATCTAACATTGAGGCATTTTGCTGACCACAATGCAATTTTATCTGGATATTTACCATTTTCTGCACATTTTCAAGGTCCCATCTACTTCTACGAAGTTCCTTGATAGCTGAACAGTACAAGAAAATGTATCATTAGAGAAATATTTTTATTGGCATTCATCAATGGATTTTTTTTTAAAAAAAGAAAATGATTTTGTGACATATGGTTTTGATGATTAGGAAATTCTATTAGGTTATAGAAAGAAGGCAATTAGGACGAAAACTTGAAGACAGAGTTTTGCTTAGAATTATATGTATAATTTCTGAGATAGCAAAACATATATAAATAAAATAAATAAAAAACAGAAAACACACACACATATGCATGCAGACACATCCATTTAGTTGCTGCAAGAAGATTGCATTGGAAGATCTACAAGAAATACCATTAGTGAACAAGCAAGAACTGGTAGGACCATAAAATAGAGAAAGTAATAGAAAAGGAAGACGTTAAAGTGCTCTGGGACTTATAAATTCAAACAGAGAGGCACCTGGTGCATAACATGCCAGACTTAATTGTTCATAAGAAAGACAAAAAAGTCTACATAGTGGACGTGACAGTAGCTGAAGACAGCAGAACAGAAGAGAAAGAAATGGAGAAGATAATCAAATACAAAGACCTGCAAATAGAAATATAGTGACAAAAGCAAGCAAAGGTGATCCCAATAGTCATAGGTGCCTTGGATGCAATTCCAAAACAACTGGAGCACCATTTGAACACCATCGGTATTGACACATTCACCATCAGTCAACTACAAAAGGCAGCTTTACTCAGAACAGCTTTGATCCTGTGATGGTACATTTAATGGCATCAAACATCCAGATCTGCCCAGCCCAGGTCCTTGGGTAGGACTTGATTAGGTGGATAAAAATTCAAAATCTGATCTGGTAGGTAGGGTTATAATTGTTCAACTCTATTTTTCTATAATATCAGGTTTTAGAAGCTGATAGAGTAACACACTATGATATAAAATGCTTTAATATTAGCGAACAAATGTTACATAAAGGAAGAATAAATAAAAGCATAATGACTGCAAAAAACCAAGGTTTTTGAGGCAAAACACTTACTTAAATTATGCTGAGTATACAGACAATGTAGCTTCTGCATAATGCTTTTTAGGAGCCAAGACTGCAAAAAAACAACAGTGAAACCAGAAATAATTGTCCTCCATTATTTCATAAACCAATAATAGAAGAGAAGCATGCATGCAGTAGCTTAACTGCTTAAATGCATGCTCGTCCTCTAGGATGCAGTAAGTGCAATATAAACCTTAAAATAATTATGACCGTGAATATAAAACAACACAGAAAACAAAAGTGATGCTAATGAGAAAGCTATTAAAATAATCTACATGAACACACAAGGAAGAAGAAAATATAATTTTAGTTTTAAAAAAACTGGCGTGCTTCCAAGAATGTTTAACAATCCTAATTCTGGACTACCTTTTCTTTGTCTGCATTCATGTCTTGTACTTGGATCTGGTTCATGAGCTCCTCCTTTTCTTGTCTCAACTTCCTGTTTTCTTCTTCCAATCTCTGGATGTGTAATAAATGATACAATGGAAATGAGGGTCTGCTGGTTGATCTTGGAGTGTCAATAATGGTATCTCTGCTGTAATAAAAAGCTAAGAAGGGAGCATGTTTTCAAACATGAAATATGATTCACTATTGTTTCATTTCGTATATTAGGAAAATGAATTCGGTCATCTCACCTAGCAGTTATCAAAGTAACACTGACCGATGGTTGCATTGGAAGGGATTGGTATTTCTGGATCTACGACTGTGGATTTGAAATGAGGTCAGCTCTTGTGTGGCTACTCTACCCCATCAAAACTTGAACATATACAGTGGAAAGCTAGACATTTTATTTTCTTAACAAGGAGACTTTGAAGAAATAAAGAGTGAAAGTACAGCATACAATCGTTAAGAATGCAGAAGAAGACAAGAAGCAATTCATAAATCATGCACGTAATACGTATGTAATTGCCTACCTTTCATTCAAGATGACTGCGTTTTGCTTCTTACCTTTCTTGTGTCTTGCCAGCTTTTCTTTTCTTTTCCTACCATTTCTTGATAAGCTTCCAGAGAAGATCTCAGGTGCTTTATTTTGTCACTGTATTGGTTTCTCACTGCCATTACGGCTTGCTTCTATTGACAGATTATGGTGAGGAAAATAATCTTTAATGACAGCTATCGGGGGAGAAAATAATCCTCTGAACCTAAACATTTGGATTATGCTTCTCTTTTTTTTGTAACATACACTTGATAACAACTTGACTTTCTATAGTAGCTTACTTGGTTGGGGATACACCAGGAAATTAGGGATTCTTAACATTGGCCTTTATGTAGCTGCCTATATTATCAAAAGATTTTGACAAGTATCACAGGACCAAGAATGGGGAAAGCATTTAAATAAATCAATAAAATGGTCCAAGTTACATGACATTGTTAATCTCCTGGAGTGTTTGGTGCTGTCACCTGCAAAGATTTTGAAATTACAAAATATTTTATTTGGGTTAGTAGAGATAGTACCCCTGAGGAATTAACCCTATCTTAAAATGCATGGAGCTTTCAAATGAAGTCTGAATACTTTTTTCTCCACATTGTTTTTTGTCTGCTGTTATTCCAGCAGTCCCCAAACTTTCAGACTCTGTGGACTGGTAGCGGTGGGTGGGGGAAGGGGTGGGGGAACGGGATGGTTTTGTGCATGCAACCTAATCTTGCACATGCACAAATGGAGCCTTGCGAGCTCGCTCAACACTTGCGTGGCCCAGTTTCCACTAGTCTGCAGACCAATAGTGGTTTGTGAGCCGAGGTTGGGGACCCCTGTGTTATTCCTTTCCATTTTTGAAAGGAAGAAAGAATAACCAGTGGAAAGAATAGTAGAAAGAATAGTAGAGGCATTTGTAGAAAGTTGTGTTGTGGGAATTATTATTATTTGTTTACTTGTGAGAAAATGGAAAATACCAGAAAATTCTTTTGTTATTTTGGGTTCTATTTTGAGTTCTATTTTGGAGAAAATAGAACTCAACTCTGGTCAAAATTGAGTTACTATACTTGAAGAATATTTTCGGTCCAAATCGTCTATAAGTCCCAAATACTTTAAATACCGTGTTTCCCTGAAAAAAAGACTCTGTCTTATATTTTTTTGAACTCTGAAATAAGCACTTGGTTTTATTTTCAGGGAGATATTATTATTTTGGGGTGTGAGAAGCAAGATGAGGCTCCTCTTGCTGTCTTACCTGATTTCCAGCTCTGTGTTTAAATATTTTCGGGGAGGGCTTATTTTCAGGGGGAGGCTTATTTTAGCGCATGTGCTCAAAAGCCCGATTGGGCTTATTATCAGGGGATGTCTTATTTTGGGTGAAACAGGGTATACTATCTCATCTCAAACACTCTTCAGGATTACATATTCTACAGCTACTTGTCTCATCCTTTTTCTTGGGTGGCAAAACATTTTCTTTGCAGTCAGGTAAAACAATCCATCCAGAGAACTGGAATTTCTTTTATTTCATTTATGCCATAGCTGAGAGGGGTAATGGGTTTTGTTATCCTGATTATTTGCATCTTCCTAACAAAGAATCAAAGGCCAGGGAAATAAGGAGAGAATTATAATAGCCTACAACAATTGGACTAACATAGACCTATTTGGGCCCAACAAGGCTAACATTTCTTGTTAGGCAATCCTTCCACATTATAAGTAGGGGCTGGCACATAGAACATGAAACATAGAACATAGAATAGAGTTGGAAGGTACCTTGAAGGTCTTCTAGTGCAACCCCATGTTTGAGTAGGAGACCCTATACCATTTCAGACAAATGACTATACAGTCTCTCTTTGAAAGCCTCCAGTGATGCCTCACGGGCAAGTAAGTAAATAAAGGAATAGCATGAATAAAGGAAAATGTTGTCTGCCTTTGCTGTTAAACAAAGTCTGCTGTTGTATCTAAATATCCAGATACAAATAGAACTTTTAAAATTTTATGAGATCCCCCCCACCACGCACAGTGTATTAGACCAAGTTCTACAGTATTAGGTTTTCCAAAGTCCTGCTGATACGCTTTATCAAAGAATTATATTTTCATCAGAAATGACTAGACAGTTCACAGACCTCCGACATTCCAAATGAAATTAAATCATTTGGAGAGTTAGTTATTCTTAATTATGCAGTTTTAATAACAGCATTAAAAATGTATTGGCTGTGATGCAGAGAGCAGCTAGTGAAATAATTATGTTCTAAGACAACAGATCCACAGGGCAACTACGTCAAACACAAGGGTGCCTAATTTCAACATGAATTAGAAGATCACAGTTTCCAGCTTCAAATGGTAATGGACATCTGCATAAACCTGCAGTAAAACTGCTCATGCTTATGCCTTCAAGTGAGATCTAAATTAACCACCATCACCTCGACTGATGAGGAAGCTTTTTTTCCCTTAGGGAAGACACATAATAAGCCCAGTTACAACAAAACTAATACAACATTCAACTATTTTACCGGAAGGAAAGGAAGATTCCTGATTGTGTCTGCTTTCTTCCCAGCAAAACGGAGAATGTTTTGGCGGTTGATGGGAAGAAGAACAAAGGAGTATTGAGGTCCCTCATGGCCTTTCCTTTCCTCCTCCAAAAAGAGGACATAATTAATGGGGGTTCATTTTGCAGGAGGGAGGTTTGGATGCATTCCCATCCATGTTTCTGTGTCTGTCTCTGTGCACGATTGGTGACTGCAGCTGTAGTCCTTTTAAATATTGTCCATCCCTGTACTAGGAACTTAGGCACAGAAGAATATATAGAATATTTCCATGTATTTGAAGGGACAGCTTTTTCTCCTTCTTAAAGCACACATTCTGTCTTTCTTTCCCTTCCATCTTTTTCCAATTTTTGTTCTATTATTTTTATTCCATAAAACTAATGGACAGAGACACAAAATCTGTATATGTATATCAGTGGTGAAATTCAATTTTTTTTTACTACCGGTTCTGTGGGTGTGCCTTGGTGGGCGTTTTGTGCCTTGGTGAGAGTGGCTTGGTGGCTGTGACAGGGGAAGGATATTGCAAAATCCCCATTCCCTCCCCACTCCTGGGGGAAGGATATTGCAAAATCTCCATTCCCACCCCACTGTGGGACCAGCTAGAGGTGGTATTTGCGGGTTCTCTGAACTACTCAAAATTTCCGCTACCGGTTCTCCAGAACCTGTCAGAACCTACTGGATTTCACCCCGATGTATATGCAGTAGCAGGATTAAAATCCCGTCACTACCGGTTCGCTCATGGGTGCACACACGCGTGCACAATGCTTCTGCGCATGCGCAGAGACGTCCGGGTGGGTGGGCGGAGCATCCTGCCGCCACCACTACCAGTTCGCCCGATCTGGGGCAAACCGGTAGCAATCCCCCACTGTGTATAGGTATAGGTATAGGTATCAGTATATGTGTGTATGTTACATATATATTCAAACACACAAACACACAAAAACACACATATGCACTCTTTCCAGAAGGTTATTCTCAGATCTTGGTTAATCTAAACAAACAAAACAAACCCCAAAATTGCTAGAGTCAAGTATCTGTTTAGTATTTGGATGATACTAAGGATGCTGAAATATATCCCAAAGAGTGTCAAATTATTTCCTCCCTATTGACAAGAAAACTACATGGTGCGTCTGCAGATTAAAGTTACTACAGGCTCGGTTCAAGGAGACAATACCTTTTTATTGTCAGATAATTGGATCTTTACTGTAAATGCTTTCACCCACAAAAACCACTAGAGGGAGCTCTCTTCTAATACGAAAACTGGAGTTTATGTTTTCAAAAGTCACCATCATATTCGGAATGGGGCAAAAGACAAGAGAACAGAACGCACAACATAGGTTTCTGAAGCCTGCAATTTTAAGATGTGTGGACTTCAACTTCCAAGCAAAATCTTAAAGTTGCCAAGTTTGAAAAAAAACATGGATGTAAATGAATTAGACCATAAGAGAGAAGTCTCTCTACATTTTCAAGATAATTTTCTCTCCTGAACATTTCTTCAATGTGGCCTAATCCTAAACAAGGTTTGTTGCATTTGAATCTCATTAGTTTCAACAAGTTGCTGTAGGCTCTTTTCATCTGGTGCTTTCCAAATGTGTTAAAAATCTGGGGAATTCCAATACATCCGATAAGTAAGAGATAGAAGAGACTGATTCCTCTGCATAACATTTGGAATCCCCCCCCCCAACATGCCATCTTACAAATGTACAAGGCTTAATCCTACTTATCTATGTAGACAATTGCAGTCGAAATAAGTCATATTCCATGCCAACCATCTGACATCCTTTATCAGATGTAACTCAAGTAGAACGGATTCGGTTGGCTCATGTTTGTTCTCACGATGACATGAAAAGCAGTTGAGCACTTGGATTGTTTCTGTCATAACAGGAACAAAAAATAATAATAATAATCACCTGACTTTCTTTTCCAAAATGCTCCAGCTCTTTGATAACTTTCACGTATCTGATTTTCATCTGGTGCATGTCTTTTGCAAGCTGCACAGAAATGCAAACAGAAAAAACAAATCGATGTCATTATTGAATACAGATCCTTAACAATGTGTCACGGGTGAACGTTCAGTCAACATTTGGCTGTACTGTACTATAAGAGAAACAACATAGACAGTGGTGGGATTCAAATAATTTAACAACCGGTTCTCTGCCCTAATGACCAGCTGGGGAGGCGCGGCTCGGTGGACATATGACTGTGTGTGTGTGGCCAACTCAACATCACTCACACCGATGGGCGCTTCGCCTTAGGTGTTACAATGTAACAAGGCTTAACCAGAGAGGCAGTTTCTGTAAGCAGGGCAATAAAGATTAGGCTAGAAATAACAGCAGAATGTTTCCTTCCTGCCTTCCTACAGGATTAGCCCTGTAAAGTGGGAAAAAAAAAAGATTTCTTCCAAACGCCGGTTCTCCGAACTGCTTAGAAAGTTAACAGCCGGTTCTTCCGAATAGGTGCGAACTGGCTGAATCCCACCACTGAACATAGATATGTTGAACTAGCACAAGCAGACAGCAAGACCAAAATGCATCTTAACCGCATTTAATTTTAGGAGGCTCAATCAATTCACAACTGTTATACGAAAAATCCTTGACTTATAACCATCCTTTTAGTGATCATTCAAAGTTAGAAAAAAGTGACTTTCAACCAGTCCTCGCATTTACAAGTTTTTGTAGGATCTTCCAGGTCACGTGATCAAAATTTAGGCACATGGTAACTGGCATGTATTTACAACGTGTCCTGGGGTCATGTGATCACCACTTGTGACCCTCACAGACAGCTTCCAACAAGCAAAGTCAGTGAGGGAAACCAGATTTGTTTAATGAGCTTGTCATTCACTTAACAACCTCAGTGATTCGCTTAACCATCGTTGCAGAAAGATTGTAAAATCAGACATGACTTACTTAGCAACTGCCTTAACAATAGAAATTCAATTGTGGTCCTAAGTTGAGGACTATTTGTAATACTTAGCAACTGTAATTTTTAAACTCTGAGACAGATTTAGAAGTAAAGTGATAAAAATGTTTAAGGAACAAATTGTACATACACAGTATGGCGTATGGCTCGGCCAGAGGGGGGTTTCAGCAGGTTCTGACCAGTTCTGGAGAACCGGTAGTGGAAATTTTGAGTAGTTCGGAGAACCAGTAGTAAAAATTCTGACTGGCCCCACCCCATCTATTCTCTATCTCCCAAGTCCCAGCTGATCGGGAGGAAATGGGGATTTTTCAGTAACCTTCCCCTGGAGTGGGGTGGGAATGCAGATTTTACAGTATCCTTCCCTTGCCACACCCACCAAGCCATGCCCTGCCCATCAAGCCACACCCACAGAACCGGTAGTAAAAAATTTTGAAACCCACCATTGGGCTCGGCGGACATACAACTAACATTTAAGGCACATTTTTTATTCATGGTACTCTTTTGTTCATTGGATGAATATTTGTAGATTTGTGAAACATTTTTAACGTCCTTCTATCAGCGGGATCTTTCTGTGAGTCAAGGGAAAGGCAGCTCTTCAAATCAGGCGCTGCAAAGGAAGATCTCATTCCAATCTTACCTTGTTGAGCACTTGAGTAAAAATGTCTGTGTCTTGAACCAGGTGTAAACGTAGTTCTATCTCAGGGCAGAATGTTTTAAAACCCCCGATTTGACATTTATTATTCATTAAATAGATGACCGTGAAAAAACGTTTTCTTAAGAGACAAATATTGCAATAGGAAAAGGAGGAAAGAACTGGTTTGTGTTCAGTAACATTTAAATGAGAATGAATGTGAAAATGGACCACTGATATATTAATGTTCATTATTAACAAGTAATGTCCCACTTTCTTAGGAGACTTGCCTTTCTATATCGTTTTCTTGGTACTTTTGGTGATGTTTTGCAAGGGCCCTTACAGTGGTGGTATTTTTTCTGTTTCCCATCCTGCTACCATATTCCTTATTGGATAAAGTCAATGTATGTCGGAAATGATCATCACTGTTTACCTTGGTAATGTATAATTTAGCTGACCTATAGGGAATATAAAATAACTCTTCTTTGGATTGGCATCCATCCATCTGAACATCAGGAAACAACCGTCCAGGAGAACATGGATAACCTGCAACATATAAAAATATGAAGAATACATATACATTTATCATTAACACAATAGTAAAAGGACTTTAAAATAAGATGCACTCAAGTGATACAAAGCAGAAGGCCGATATGTGATGGTTTCAGTAAGGCGTTTCATGCCATTGAGGCAGCATAATTCACCTCACTGAGGGAGGAGGTGAGAGGAGGACGTGCACAGGTACTTTGTGCAGTTTTGGTCTTTCTCAACAACTCATTAGCCTCCTGGAAAAGTCGGAGGACACCAGTTTGCCTTACAATTTGGGGAAATTCTCGTCTCCCCAAGTTTCCCAGGGCTTGTAAGTTCAATTCAGCCATGAAAGAGAAATTATATCTAGTATAAAAATAAGACATGGCAAAGGAAAGACTCAAATTTTGCTGTGAGAATTATATTATGAAATGGCAGGCGGGCTACAATGGTATTAGTTTCTGCGTATGTTGTGCAAAGTACCTTCCTCTGCTTCCTTTTGGTTTTCTTCATTTTCATTGAGACGTTTTGCAAAAGAAGTCTTACTATTGTCAAAACTCTTGTTCTCATTTGAGAAAGTTTCACCTGCAAAACAAATCAAGTGGAAAACCAGGCTGGCTTTATATGTACTTCCTCCCTTGTCTTTCCCCATGTGTGCTGCAGATTACTCCTTTTATGCACTTCCATAATGTTTCTTACCCCCCTCCCTCAATATGATGGGTGTATATCTACTGTATGCATATAGACATATTTCTTCACTTATGACTGGTCATGTAACAACCACTCAAAATTATGACCGCCTTGAAAAAGGGGATTTACGGTCCAGATCCAAAGTTCGGACAGTCACATCCCTCCCTGAAGTCATAGGTCCATACCAGTGGTGGGTTCCTCCCGGTTCGGTCTGGTTCAGCCGAGCCGGTAGCGGTGACAATATGACCTCACTGAACCGGTTCTCCCCCACCCGCCCTCCCAGCCCCCCCACCCATCCACGTTATTCTTACCTTTTATTTGGTCCCACCCCCAATCTGCCTCCTGAGTCCCAGCTGATGACTAGAGGGAAAAAAACTGTTTAAATTCTTGCCATGGGGCTTCAAAGGGCCGTCCTACAGCTGATCAGTGTTAAAAGCAAACAAATGAGTTGGGTCGTAAGTACGAGGACTTGGTCGTAAGTGCGAGGACCTTCCAGAAATGACTGACCAGCTAGCCACGCCCACCTAGTCACATGACCTCCAAGCCACACCCACAAAATAAGCCACTCCCACAGAACCGGTAGTAAAAAAAATTAGAACCCACCCCGGTCCATACTTTGGGGGCTCAGCAACCCAGCCACCTGTATAGCCCTTTTTAGTGTCTCATAAACACATGCCTATGTTTTATGATGGTTTTGTTGAAAACTGGCACTTCTGGTTTTTGGCAAAACTGTGCCACAGAAAACAATGGGTTTGTTTGCTTAATGACTACCATGTTCACTTTTGACACCCATGGTGTTCGCTTAATGATTGCCACAAGAAAACTGTGGTAAATTACCACCTTATGGCTTATGACTGTGATGGGCAGTCTCCATTGCAGTCACAATTCGAGGACTACCTGTATGTATACATGCAATCATTAGTGCAATGGATATTTCTTATCTTGAACATTCAGCATTGGTGCCTTGTCAGGACAGCAGCACTGAAATTCAGATAGAGATCTATGACTTCTTCAAAGTTATCCTTGTCAGATGAATTAAAATAATTAATTCCCTGCAAGCATAATTCTAGAAATTGTAGTCCTAGTAACGTGTGTAATGATTGGCCTTTCTTACCCTGTCCAATTTCTTCCTCCATGGCTGCATTTTTTGTTGGATGAGCTTGTATCTCCTCTATAACATCAGTAACAGTTCCAGGCAAGGAAATCCATGAGATGATATTTGATTGTGATTTGGACTCCACGTTATTTCTCAAGCCCTCTTCAGATACTTGGGAACTTGATGGGAAATCTGTTTGTATCCAGGCCCCTGGAAGAGGAAAAAAAAGTCTTTCATTCATATAGTTAAACCTAGAAAATCAAACCTAAAAAAATAATAATATTCTGTATCAGAGAAACTGCAGTGAATGTAAGGGGGTTCAGTGCTGTAAATCCCTTCACTTCTTTCTGAAATCCAAACGGTAGTTGACAAAGAGAACTTCATGTCTCAAACATCAACATGCTTGTGATGGTGACTATTTTAGCAATAGCAATAGCACTTAGACTTATATATTGCTTCCTAGTGCTTTACAGCCCTCTCTAAGCGGTTTACAGAGTCAGCACATTGCTCCCAACTATCTGGGTCTTCATTTTACTGGCCTGAGAAGGATAGAAGGCTGAGTCAGCCTTGAGCCAGTCAGGATTGAACTGCTGGCAGCTTGGAAAACTGCATTCTAACCACTGTGCCACCAAGGCTTGCTTGCTTTTCTTTCTTTCTTTCTTTCTTTCTTTCTTTCTTTCTTTCTTTCTTTCTTTCTTTCTTTCTTTCTTTCTTTCTTTCTTTCTTTCTTTTTCTTTCCTTCCTTCCTTCTTTCCTTCCTTCTTCCTTCCTTTTCCTTCCTTCCTTCTCTCTCTCCCTTCATTACTTTTAAAATAACTCAAGGCAGCAAATATATCCAACATGCTTTCCTTGAATTTTCCCTACAACAACAACCCTATGAGGTGGGCTGAACTGAGAAAGAATGACTGGCCAGCTTAGTTTTCATGGTTAAGGTAGGACATGAGACATGAGATTCAAAGTATGGTTTTACGGCACAGTGTATTTCAGGAACCTTGCATCAAATATACTCTTAGAAAATCTGAATACTGTTCTGAATAAAAATGTACGTTGCCTTTAAGAAATATTTTTTTAAAACACCACAATTTGATGGCAAGTTAAAAAAAAAAGCAGGATTTAAATACAAGAAGGAAATAATGAACCAAATAATAAAGCTGTAGATCAATCAGTTTTATTGTGCTTACTGTAAGGGAACCAACCTTTTCAATTTCACTGCCCTGCTGTTTGATCTCTTTCAGTATCTTTATGATTTACTCTTACCATTGCATTCAAAAAGCATGTACTGTATGTCATCCTTAATAAATGAAGAAATAAGTATAGGAAAAATTCAGGATTTTTCCATTTGTACAGAATTTCATGATGTGGTCCAACTAAAGATATGCAAAATTCAGCCAAGGGATGAAGAAAATTATCTTTACTACTATCTATTGATTGTCTGGATTTTTGCAGCCTATAAAGGTAAAGGTTCCCCTTACACATACATGCTAGTCGTTCCCGATTCTAGGGGGAGTGCTCATCTCCGTTTCAAAGCCAAAGAGCCAGCGCTGTCCAAAGACATCTCCGTGGTCATATGGCCAGCATGACTAAATGCCGAAGGCGCATGGAACTCTGTTACCTTCCCACCAAAGGTGGTTCCTATTTTTCTATTTGCATTTTTTACTTGCTTTCGAACTGCTAGGTTGTTCAATATAATGCAGGATCCATATCAAAAATTATAGACCGATCAAATCATTCATTCATCTTTATAGTACAAAATACCCTTCCTAACCTGCTTTTGTAATGTGATTTTTCCCTCAATATTCTGTTGCTTTCTCAAAATACAGGTAGTCCTTGACTTACAACAATTCACTTAGTGACCGTTCAAAGTTGGTCACATGATTTACATTCAGATGCTTGACAACTGACTCACATTTATGACAATTACAGTGTCCCGGGGTCATGTGACCATCTTTCGCCAGCTTCTGACCAGCAAAATCAATGGGGAAGCCATTGATTCACTTAACAATTGGGTTACTAATTTAACAACTGCAGAGATTCGCTTAACAAACATGGCAAGAAAAGTCGTAAAATGGGGCAAAACTCACGTAACACATTTCTCATTTAGCAACATACATTTTGGGTTCAGTTATAGTTGTAAGTTGAGGACTACCTGTGTTCTGTAGTTATTTTTTCTCCATGCTGCAAATTCTTTTCCATAATTGGATGCTGAACATACCAGCATTATAACTCTGGTCAGGGATTAGGCTTAAAACAGTAATAAACACTTTCCAACCTGTCTCTACTTCCTCTTTGAGTTTCAGTTTTCTATTCTTGCACTGCTGCTTCGATAAACATGCAGTTTTCCAGGCTACGTATTCTAAAAATCTACCCTCTTCTGCCGCACTTCTTTCCGTTTGTGTCATGAGCTCTGCACAGAGGCAAAATCAACTAGAAATGACCCTCTCCTTTCCCTTTTCTTCTCAGCTTACAATATTGTGCTGGGTACATTTGACTTACTACCAGTGGTGAAATCTAAAATTTGTTACTACCGGTTCTGTGGGCGTGGCTTGGTGTGGGGGGATGTAATGTGACTGGGTGGGCGTGGCCAATTTTTTTTTTTTACTTTTAAAACCATTTTTTCTACAACCTCTTCGATGAAAAGGTTGTAGAAAAAATGCTTTCAAAAGGCTCTGACGATCCCAGCTGAGTTGCCTGATCAGCAGAGGCTTTTTTTCTTTTAAAAGCCTCTGCCGATCAGGCAACTCAGCTGGGATTGTCAGAGGCTTTTAAAAGAAAAAAAGCTTCTGCCAATCAGGCAACTCAGCTGGGATCGTCAGAGGCTTTTAAAAGCAGAGGTTGTCTTCAGAGGTTGTAGAAAAATGCTTTTAAAAGCCTCTGACGATCCCAGCTGAGCCGTGCGATCATCGGAGGCTTTTTTTTTTAACTTTTAAAAGCATTTTTTCCGCCGAAGAGGTTGTAAAAAAAATGCTTTTAAATTTTTTTTAAAAAAGCCTCTGATGATTGCGTGGCTCAGCTGGGCATAGGGGTGGTGGTGGCAGGGATTTTTCCTACTGGTTCTCCGAACTACCCACCTCCATCGCTACTGGATCGGGCAATCTGGTCCGAACCAGGAGTATTTCACCCCTGCTTACTACCATTCATTTAGTGAGCATTCGAAGTTATGGCAGCACTGAAAAAAGTGACTTAGTATTTACGACTGCTGCAGCATTCCCCATGGTCACGTGATTGAAATTAGGATGCTTGGCAAATGGCATGTATTTATGTCGCAGTGTCTTGGGGTTATGCAGTTTCCTTTTGTGACCTTCTGGCCAGTGAAGTCAATGGGGAAGCCCCCCCATTAACAATCATGTTACTAACTTAACAACTGCAGTGATTTTCTTAAGAACTGCGGCAAGAAAGATCGTAAAAGGGGGCAATATTAACTTAACAATTGTCTTGCTTGGCAGCAGAAATTTTGGGCCCAATTGTGGTCGTAGGTCGAGGACTACTTTTATAATGCAGAGGACAAAACATTTATGCTTCTCCAGATTTTATCTATTCGGTCCCCTAATTGTAACATTATGTCTTGCTAGGCGAGGCTGGAGCAAATTATATGAGGGATAGTGAAATGTAAAAGCTTGTTTACAAGCTTTTGTAAATAAAACTGGCCCAGAAAAAGTGTGGCTCTTGCCATAAGCAATTCCTAATGCAAATCTCCCTGAATTGTTCACAATCCTCTGGGAAAAACAGTTTGGGGCTATTTGTTCAAAAAACATGTAATTCACCACAGTCTGACAGGATATGCCATCTGTACACACAAGAAACTATTATAGTCAGATTTTTAATGTAACAATTGTGTTTCAATGGTTGTTGAAATCAGGCAATGTCAAAGACTTCAAATTTGGCTTATTTTATTCCAGTGAAAGGGCCACATCCTCTTTCTTCTCTATTACAACAGAGATGGAAGAATGTATACGGATGTTCTACAGCAGGGGTGTCAAACACGATTTCATTGAGGGCAACATCAGGGTTGTGGTTGATCTTGGGGTATGGGGTGGGCGTGGCCAGGGTGGACGTGGCCAGCTAGACATTACTTGTGTCGGGAGTGTCTGTGGTGGTCAGAGCACTCTGCCAGTGAAAACAGGCTCCCGAGCTCCGTTTTCAGTCACAATAGCCTCCTGCCCCATTTTACCAGTGAAAATGGAGCTCGGGAGCCCCGGCACATAGCCCTCCCGAGCTCTGTTTTTGCTGGCAGAGGCACTGCGGGCCAGTTGCATTGGGGTGGAGCCGGGGTGCCTGAACAGAGCTCAAGCGTTTATTGGCTGGATGCCCTTCCTGATGCCTATGTGGAGTTTGCAGCAGACAATTACTCAATGCGTCCAGAGAGAAAAATATCTGCTACTACCTAGGATCAAAACCACAGCCTCCTGATTGTGAGCTCCACCTCTAGGTTACCACACCACTATCTGTATCTGTATCTGTATCTGTATCTGTATCTGTATCTGTATCTGTAGCTGTAGCTGTAGCTGTAGCTGTAGCTGTACTGTACCTGTACCTGTACCTGTACCTGTAGTTGTACCTTACCTGTACTTATAAATCTATATCTATATCTATATCTATATCTATATCTATATCTATATCTATATCTATATCTATATCTATATCTATCATCATATGTCTAAACACACACCTAAGTATATATGTGAGGTAAACATATGGGACATGAGAAAACCCTTTGTTTATTTTAGTAGGTAAATAAATTAAATGTTAATTCTGAAATGAATACCTGTGCATTCTTATTCAGATTAAGTTTGATTGTAACAGTTGAGAGGAAATGTGTAAATATGGAAACGCAGAAGGAAATGCTAGAAGCGTATTTTGAATTAGCTTGGACCATACAGCATGCTAAACCTTTCCACATGATTTGTACAGTGTCTGGGTAACACATTAGCACACATGAGAAAAGCCTCATTCTGGTGCTGAACAAATCTTGAACCCAGAGATCAAAATGGCTGCAAGAATGTGAGGCATAAACTGACAGGAAACGTGATGAGAAGATACTTTCCTGTTGTTCACTAATTCCAGATAAAATGAAAAATTGGTTGGAAAGTTACAAAGCTCCAGAGTTTCTCAGCTAAATTCCTAGAGAAGGGGTTTTGGCCAAGAGGGAGTATTCATAAGATTATACATATGCCTCTGGGCAGATTCAGGCAAACAGTTAAACATCCTTACAATATTCACTTTTTTATGAAGCTCTCAGTGTCTTGTGAGATTCATTTGTGAAAACCTCAGACAAAGAGGAAAATTACAGCCATGATGTCAACTATTGGAACATATAATTACTCTTAATACTGCCAGACTCATAGAAGCAACATTATAACTTTGCATTCACCTAATATGAAATACCGTAATGACTTACAATGTGAATGTAAGAGATTTATAGCTTCTCTTGACTGTATGTCTGAAATCCGAAAACAAGGTACATTTGTCACATAATGTCTAGCCTCCAATTTATGAATCATGAATTAAATTTGAATTATGATTACACTAATGTCATCAGGTAGCTTCATTGTCAGGCCTGGAAGCCATTTTGTTCGTTGGATCTTCAGGCCTGCCACATTTACTACTGTGGGAAACTGGGAGGGGGGATTGTATGGAGCCAGGGTGATATATTGTCATAATAACATTCCTTTCTCAGAAAGTCAAGGACATCTTGCCCTGTACCTGGATGGCTAGAACTGGGAGACATCTCCAGTTGGGACGGTGCTTTGATTGGATCATGTGATGGACTTGTGGGTGGGGAAAACCTGGAAGCTTTCAGATTCGGGTTTTCCCAGATGTGCCAATATGACATTTCTAATAAAATGGAACTTTGAGGAAACTCAAGTCTCGTAGTTTTCTTTCATTGGGGGTGTTATATGGAACCCTGACATTCATATTCTGACCATAATTTGCTAGTTTTGGTGATCAAAATTCAGATGCTTGGCAATTCGTTCATACTTATGACCGTTGCTCTGTCCCAAGGTCATGTGATCAGCTTTTGCGACCTTCTGACCAACAAAGTCAAGGGGGAAGCCAGGTTCACTTAACAACCATGTTACTAACTTAACAACTGCAATGATTCACTTAACAATTGTGGCAAGAAAAGTCATAAAATGAGGCAAAACTCATTTAACAAATGTTTCACTTAACAGCATAAATTTTGAGCTCAATTGTGGTTGTAAGTTGAGGACTACCTGTATTAGCAATTCTTCTTTCTGTTTACCCACTAGCCACATTTGCATCCTGAAAAGGGTTGTGGGGGTGGGGGGTGGGGGCGGTGGTATCCTTGAAAAGAATAAAACTGACCTGGGTCAATTCTGAGGGTTACTTTTAGCTCTAAATAGCCAGAGTTTGTTTGAAGCTAGAGTAATTCCCTCCAGTTAACTATGTTATTGACATAACTGACAGAGGTGTTTAATGAGTCCCTTGTTTTTTTGGACAGAGATAAAATTCTTGAAAAGTTCTGCAGAACTATGCCAGATTTTGTCCTCCCGAAGCTACATGTCAGTGGGAAGTCAAAATAGGGCCCTTTAAAATAAAAATAAAAATAAAAATAAAAATAAAAATGAGTATATGTGGTATCATCCTCATGGAGAAAATCTATCCGTGTGATTGATAGGAGTTGAAAATGACTTAATGGCACATCATCAATCCACAGCTTTGCACCATAACCCTGACTGTGGTGGCACCTATTCTTATTTCACCATTGGGATGGCAAAGAGGAATGCCAGGAAGAATGAGAAGAGAAGGAGAACAGAAGAGGAGAGGGAGATGGGGGAAGCAGGGAAAATTTGGGAGGATTTGAAAATTCAGATTAAGACATGCCAGCCTGTGTAGTATGGAAACTGGTCATTTGGCTCAAGGAGGGCATGACTTCATCAGCCATGCAACATGAACATGGCCTTTGTCTTTCCTCTGGGTCTTGTACCCAAAAAAGAAGTACATCTTTTATGTGCTCCATGCCTTCTTCTGTGCTGTCTTTTTATATGCATGAGTGTATCAGCCTTAATGAAGATTTACCCCATTTTTCTAGCTCTTTAATGAGTCAGATCATTAATACAACTATATCTTGAATACAAATGACGAAGGTGGCTTCTTATATCAGACTCATGTAGAAACCTAACAAAAGACAAGCTCTATTCTGCTCTATTCTGTTCCAAATCGTTTTAAAAGTGCACAACCCTATGCCTAAGCATTTCTACCTAGAGTTAAAATTTGTTTTTGAAATAAGAGATTGTGGGGCAAATTGGCAATCAGATTCTACTATCATGAAATTGCTCAATTTTCTTACAATTATTAGAGCTACAAAAAATGAATCAATTATACCTGTTTTGCTTTCACTTTTGCTCTCAACTGTAGGAAAGATGGAATTCCTTTTTTTCTTCCACAGCCAAGAGTGTGATGACATAGGAATATTTTCATCATCTGTTGGAACAAAGAAACAAACATACTTTTATTATTTTAAAATCTGATCGTATAAACTTATAAAGAATCCTCTTCTTATTACGAGGAATCTGCTACTAAGAAATAATGCTGCAGACTTCACTTGTTAAATCAATTGATATATAAAAGCTTCATATATTCACAAGTTGTTCAGCATAACCCAATCAATATAAATTCTGAAATGTTAACCTAACTGTTTTGTTTAGTCTGTACTAATTTCAGTACAGGACTTCTGACTTTAAGCAAATGTTGTGTTATCAGGAATGTTCCTGATATTCCTTATTCACATTCCTCAGAGAGTCTTACATTTGAATTTAATTGCACTTGGTACACTTCTTTGTTGCCCAGTGTTGGTTGTGCTGGTGGAAGGGGAAATCAGAAAAACAAAACAAAACCCCAAACGGATGTGGTATATGCCAATGCCCCCCAACCTTTTGGGCACCAGGGACTGGTTTTATGGAGAGAGGTTTTTCTGTGGACCGGAGAGGGCATGGTTTAACATACTGCTTGCATCCTGTTGATGGGGCTTCGATTGTTTGCACAGCCTAGTTTCTGGCATGCCGCGGCCCTGTCCTGGTCCATGGACTGGGGGTTGGGGACCCCTGGTGTATTCTATAAGGACAGTGAACAACCTGGGTCTCTGTTTGAAAAAAGATTGTTATAACTAGAATGTATGGGTTTGATCAGTCGAGTGCACCTGATTTGTAAAATGTTTTGACAAGACAAGCAGCCAAATCTGCTCATATATTAATCGTTTGGTTAGATTGCAAGGATGTCCAGTCTTGGCAACTTTTAAGACCTGTGGACTTCAACTTCCAGAATTCCCCAGCCAGTTGCTGGACACCCAGGGTTAAAATATACCAGTGAGAGATTATACTGAATAGTTCATTCTGGCTTTGTAAAATCAGTATCAATTGTTGTGCCCTGAAAATCTGGAGGGACCCAGGTTAGTATATTCAGTCCTTAATCTCTCATGGTTAATTAGATTTATCTGGAAAGGACGGGTTTGTTCTGGAGTTGACAAAATGCTTCTGTGCAGGATAGGGCAAGTCTGACCATTATAAAATAGATTTTAAGAAACATATCCTTGACCCGGAAGATCCCGGATTTACGCACTTTCCGCCGTGCCCTCAAGACTTTTTTATTCCAACAAGCTGGGCTGGCCTAACTCTTTTTAATTGCTTAATTTTAATTTGCTTTTAAAAAAGGGGCGTTTTAATTAGTATGGGCCAAATTTGTTTAATATGTTTTAAATTGTTTTTAAATTTTATATTGTATGTGTTCTATCTTTGGCTGTTCGCCACCCTGAGTCCTTCAAGAGTAGGGTGTTATATAAATCCAAATAAACCTAAACCTAAACCTAAACCTAAACCTAAACCTAAACCTAATAGTTGCCCTCATCTGCAGATATTCCCTTTTGGAGCATTTTAGCAAATTGGTATAACCATTATCATCAGCAAGAAACATTAAGTATAGGAGCCTGCCTAAGTAATGGAGCCTGCCCTTTACAATCATAAGTCATGATGGTCTTAAAGTGAGTCAAATACTTTTAAGGTGTGTGATCCTTAGTGACCATTCACATTACAAAAGTAATTTTGTGACTAATCCTTGCATTTACGACCTTTGAAGGTCTGTAAAGCATAGGAAAGCTGAAGTAAGAATACAACACTGTTGTGGATTTCACTTAGTGACCATTTCACTTAATGACTGAGCTGCCAGTCCCAATTATAGTCAGTAAAAAAGGACTACCTATAACCTAAAATGAAACTTCCATATTACTTTCCCCCATAAGGGTAGGCATTTAGCTGGACCAAGTTCTCCCCAGGTCCTAGCACAATAAAACCTTTTTTTTTCTTCCATCATACTCCATCGTACAAAGGCAAAGGTTTTGTCTAATATTTAATAAAATAAATATAACCTGTTATTCTTTCCATCTTACTCCATTATACAAAATGCATCCTTCTCTTTTTTTTTGAAAATGTCATTCTTTCCTATCTTTCTGTCTCTGAATTACTTCATTTGTCTGTTTTCCTGTTGATCTAACTATATTCCTATACATTATTCTAGCATACTAAAAAGCAGAGACATCACCCTGCCAAAAGAAGTGTGTATAGTCAAGGCTATGGTTTTCCCAGTTGCAATGTATGGCTGTGAAAGGCGGACCATAAGAAAGGCTGAGTGCCAAAGAATTGAGGCCTTTGAACTATGGTGCTGGAGAAGACTCCTGCGAGTCCCTTGGACTGCAAAGCAATCAAACCGGTCAGTCCTAGAGGAGATCAACCCTGACTGCTCTTTAGAAGGCCAGATCCTGAAGATGAAACTCAAATACTTTCGCCACCTAATGAGAAGGAAGGACTCACTGGAGAAGAGCCTAATGCTGGGAAAGATTGAGGGCAAAAGAAGAATGGGATGACAGAGAACGAGGTGACTGGATGGAGTCACTGAAGCAGTAGGTGAGCTTAAATGGACTTAAATAGGAAAGCCCGGAGGAACGTTGTCCATGGGGTCACAATGGGTTGGACACGACTTCGCAACTAACAACAACATACATTATCCTATAAATATATTCCCCAAGTTTCTCTTTTTCTTACCACTCCCTGAGCGGTTACCCCATTATTTTGCTTGTTTTGTTTTTTATTTTTTTGCATACTTTTCTGAGGCTGTGCCTTGCTTCATCCAGCAGGTTCTTTCACCTTGTGTAATAAAGTTGCTTAACACCATATCCCTTTTTCTTTTCCTTTTGAAAAATTGTAAACTCTTCATTAGCTGTTTAAAAATAAACTTAAATTAAAAAAAAGATGCACACACATAACACCATCTGCCTTTAGGGCCCACTGCCTTCTTACTTCTTTGACAGCAAAAATAATTGAAGTCAAATTTATATACAAGGAATGATATATGAATATAATTAGTGGATAAAACAAGAGAACAAGAGCATAGCAATTAATACCTCCCATTATTACTCTGTATAATTTATTATGCTTATGTTATTTCTGGGCCCTTTAGCAGCCCTGTACTTTGTTCCAGCTGATTAAATTAAAATAACACATGTTGAGGGAATAAATTGCAGAACTATTCTAGCTGTCCAAATCACCCTAACAATTATGTATGGTATATTGAGCGGAGGTAAAAACTACTCATTTCGCTAATTGGAATTATCATTCAATTTATGTTAAAAATCCTTAGCACATGTAAAGGCAATCAATATTTTGTTTTGTTTTAATATATGGCTTTTATTGAAAAACCATATATTAACCACTTCTTTTAAACAAGAAGTTAAAAAACTAATACAGTCTAATATAGAATACAGGAGAAAAAAGAAAAAGAAAGAAATCATACAAGAAAAGAAAAAAGTTGAAAAAAATAGAAGGAAAAAAAAAGACAAGGTATTCACAGCAGTTAAAGTACGAATATATTTTTTTAACCCCTCTCTCTAAAGTTACTACATGCTACTCTGCTTAGGTAATCTATCCTGTCTAATCATCAAAACCATAAATAATATTCCATTTTTTTTTATTTTTATGCAAAACATCCTTAAGAAGTTTCCAGTCACCAATAAATGTAGATAATATCTTTTCTCTAATCAAATAAGTCACTTTAGCCATTTCAGCAAAATTTGTCAGTTTAACCAACTATTTCTCCATAGTGGGTAGTATTGAATCTTTCCATCTCTGTGCATATAGTAATATTGCTGCAGTAATCATATACTGAAATATTCTGCCATGGGTTTTTTTCTAGCTTTATATTCATTAGGCCCTAAATGGAAAAGTTCTGGTTTTAAATAAATATTGATATTTAAAATTCTGTTGTTCACATTTTCAATATACATTCTTAATAATTTCTCTGGTGTTATGTATTGTGGGAAGCCACCCCCCCAGAAGAATGAAATATTTTAGGAAATATTAAAATGCAGAATATTATATTTCCCTAAAGGAAGAAATGGAGAAACATGCTCTTGGAGACAGAAAGCAGCCCCCACATTTTTAAATAGCCTTCAGCAGATGTCAGCACTTAAAAGATAAAGAGCTCATTGAAAAAAGCCAAATATCTAGGTTCATAAGCAAATTCATAATTCATAGGTATTCATAAGCAAATACCCTCACCCAAGAGCCAAACAGGATGAAAGGCATTAAGCCACAATAGGAATTGCATCACCCTCAGAAACATCAACCAAACTTAGCTCAGACAAACACTTAGGACTTGTACTTTGCCTACAGAGCTAGCTATTACCCCTACATAACCCTTACATGGCCCCACGGGAGTCTGACAACAGCCAATAGAGTACATGTTCTTGCACAGGAACAGGAAGCTCAAGTGCAAAGCCCAAGAGAAGGTATAAACCCTCCACTCTCAACTCCATGTGGTCAGCTTGCCCAAAACCCATGTGGTTCTGTTTCATCATTAAGCCATCTTTCCAATCAGCCTCCATGTTTCCAGTGTCTTTCTCCTGGCTTGGAACTGAACCATGGATACTTCTTCCCACAGTACCAACAATACATCTGTCATGGTTCCAAGGAACACCCCCAAAGAAATAAAACTCTGAGGCCTGAGGTTCCTCAAAGTTCCAATTTATTAGAGGTGTCATGTTGGCACATCTGGGAAAACCCGAATCTGAAAGCTTCCAGGTTTTCTCCACCCATCTAACAGTTCACAGCCCTGCCCCACACCCACAAGTTCATCACATTGTCCAATCAACTCGTCACACTCCACCAGATACAATCTTCAGGCAGTCTCCATTAGATGCAGGCAAAAGTCCTTGAATATGGAATGTTGTTATGACTAACTTTCTACCGCTCCAACAACAACCCCCTCAACTTCCCCAACTAAAATATGTGGCAATTAAGAAGCAAAAAAGAAAATTGTCTTCCAAAACTGATATCATTTTATAAAAATTCACATTGAGATCATACCCCAATGTAAATCTCAGCATCTTTAATCACACATTTCCCCATTGATCCACCTGTATATTATAATCAAAATTCTAAGTTCAATTTATTCTTTAACCTGCTTTTCCTCTGTTTCAAACACTTTAGCAATTACATGTTATCATCAGTACACAATTGTATTTCAAATTCTGTCTTGCTTTGCTCCACACTCTTATTCTTTTTATCTATTTTAAATCTTTCATATAACCATCAATGAGAAAATCATTGACAACAATATCCTTCTGCAATCCACTGATTTAGTTTGATTTGATTTTAAGTACTCCTTGATAGTTTTCCAAGAATAGAATAGAATAGAATAGAATAGAATAGAATAGAATAGAATAGAATAGAATTCTTTATTGGCAAAGTGTGATTGGACATACAAGGAATTTGTCTTGGTGCATATGCTATCAGTGTACATAACTCTTGCTATGTCAACCTTTTATCAGTCTATCAGTTTTCTGCTAAGACAGGCTTCTTGACTTAAGATCTAACAAAGTGTTTTCAGGCACAATTTGGATTCACGTCTATTCCATAATCTCAGTATTGTATAATAAAATGAGATTTTTAAAATCCATATTAATTTTAACTTTATCATACCAGAAATATCCATGCCATTCAAATCTTGGGGTGT